AAAGTAAGAGAGGCTCTATCCATAACAGGTTCCGGAATGATTTTGCTTGCACTTGCCTGGACGAGTGAAAGTTCCCAGAGATTGTTCCAAATGTATCCCGAGTTCAAGTCTGGTGATATTACCTACAAAACAAACTCAGAAAAGAGGGAATTGCACATCGAGTCTGGGCTAGCTGCCGATGGGCAGTCGTTCAGCCACACATGGGCATTGTTCCCATGTGCTTCAAAGTGGATATTCCAGTGGTTCTACCGAAATGCCATGCCTCGACTTCATTCGGCCAAAAGTCTGTCAAGAGTAGAAGTGGCTGAATATTGAGAGAAGGATTGGACAAGATACACACTGAGATTTTGAAAGTGCACAATAACGGAAGGCAAGAGCATAGCGGAGCAATGTTGAGCTTACCTGCAACCGACAAATCAAGAAAGAGTGTCAGGGAAAGGCCATCGACCAGTCCCGCCAAGAAATCAAAAAGATAATCTAGGAACTGCCCTTCTTCTTTCCCCTTTTCGCTCTCTTCACCCGCCTTGATACGCTGCCTTCATCGTCCTCAGAGGTAGATTCTGCTGAGGCTGCTGGTGCTGCAGTGGCTGCTGGAGCTGGAGCAGATGCTGGAACTGCGAAACCCAAAGCCCTGAGACTTTCAACGTGTGTCCTGTGCTCAGGATTGTTGGGGTCCAGTCCAAGATAAGTGTAGGTGCTCCAGCCAGATCTTCCACAGGCTTTGTCAGTGAGCCTTCAGAAGTATATGAATGCAAAGAGAATGGTCCTGAAGGCTGTACAGGGCCTGAGGAAGAGAGTGGAGGCAGAAAAATGGAGAATGAGTTGAATGAAGAGAAATCATTCTATCTTTCCACAGGAACAGTCTTCTTGGCTTCAACAAAGCCATACCACATTGCCTACTTACCCACAATGATGGTGCTATCTTCAAATAACAAGAGAAACCTTTGTATCCTTCAAACAAACAAGAGAAGAGAGGTTGTTGTCATGGTGGATGGTGGTTCTTTGTGGTGGAGATTGGAGTTGGTGTTGAAGTCAAGTTGGAGTCAAGTCATTTTGCGAAACTCGAACGGTCACGGTGGCTGGCTGGCGTGCGTGTTATACGTGTTATACATGTTATACGTATTCTACACGTAAGATGTGTTAGACCTGTTATACGAGTGATACAAGTTATACGAGTGATACGAGTTATACGTGTAACATCGCGTGCGTTTCAGGGTCTCTCAGTTCTGTTCGTCAAAGAACATCTTTTGCTGGTAGAAAGTCTTTGTTGCCACTTGTTATCTTCTCCCAGAACATGGATATCTAGAATTTCGACCCGAGTACGAACATAATCGTCATTGCTGGGCAAAATCCTTCTCTGAAGAATGATTTTGGTCTCGGGACTTTGACACCTTCTGGCATAGATATCTATGATATCGATCTATGTCTGACAGGCATCGTTGCAACGGTGACTATGACTCTATAGATCTACAGCAGCAGAAGAGGCAGCCATTGGTATCTTCTTTGGCTCATAATTTGGCCAAGCCACAACAATTGAAGAGTAAGAAAGGATCTTGAGACTTTTTTTGTCAATAAAACCAATTGCAGCACGATGAAGCTTTCGATTGTTCTTGCTTGCTTGGCAGTTGGTGGAGCCAATGCTGCCTTTACCATCCGGCCACCCGCCTTCACGGGCCACAAGGTTGCATTGAACGTGGCCACTGGAACCAACGATTTTGCCACCAAGTCCACCTCTACACGAAAAGTGACGCCATCTGTCCCTGTCAACGAGGTGTCCAAGGCGGAACGTTCCAAGATGGCGGATCGTGTGATTGACCCCGATTACTCGCTGGCCGTGCAGGTTTTGTTGCTGGCTCCTTTGATTGCCTGGTACCACCCATGTAAGTTCAGCTCGGTGCAGTGCGCGCGTTTTCTATCTTGACGGGGGGGTTGAATCGAATGATCAATGAATCGGTTGCTTCTTCAGGGTGCTTGGCTTGTGTCTGATGATAAGATGTCTCATTGATTTGCCTTGCTTTGCTTTCACTTTTTTCTAACTTACTTTTTCGCATGCAGCGTACATGGCGGATGGCAGTCCCTCTATAATTGGTGTCTTTGGCGCTTGCTTTCACGTTGTCTTTGCTGCTTTGCTTTGGGTCCAAACGCTCCGTGTTCGCTTGGTATTTGAAAAGGATGCCATGGAATTCTACAATGTAAAGGGCCCACGGTGTGATTTGGAAAAAGGGGCCAGGCTGGTGAGGAAGCCCAACAACTATGTTTCCGGTACCCAAAACCGCTGGAACTATGATACGATTACGAACTACGGATTTTTCCCCTCGATAGATTTCCCGGTTATTATCTATTTGAAAGAAACGGAGACCCCCAAGGAGCAGTGGAACAAGTGGTTTGCGGCTTTCGATGGCAACAACGGTGCAGGCCAGCCCCATTTCTTTCCAGGTATCTGCAGTGCTCGTCAGATCAGGACTGAATTTGAAAAGCGAGGTATCAAGCGCAAGCCTGTGCGCACGATGAAAGACATTGGTAAAGATGGAAACTGAAGAGATGAAGGGAAGAAAAGGATATATCTACATGTATCATGGTCAGTGCCTTTAAAGAAAAGAATAGGTATCACGGCCAAGCAATGCATTGAAAATACTGGTAGCAACAACTAAAGAAAAAGAAAGAAGTAACTACCAGAAACCTTGAAGGCGTGGTTCTATTTCAGTAATGTAGGATTTTTGTCTGCTCTCCCCCACCAGGAATCAATTTGGTCTCCTTCCCCTTGCTCACCATCGCTGCTCCGTGCACTCGTGCGGCAGGCAGGGTGTGGGTCCACCATGGTGATGGTGTCATCGATGATTCCCTACCCTATTTTTTCCATCTGCTCCTGGATAAGTGGTGCTTGTCCCAATGCTACGCATCAACATCAGCTAGCCGAGCAGGCACCGTGAAAGACCACCGACGGTCACAGTATAATGCTGCCTATTGGGAGGATCGTTTTCCCATACATCGGAGAGTGGAATGGAGGTTTGATACCGTGGAATCTTCCACTAGTGGTGCTACCAACAATGGTTCTCGTTGACTCTGTTTTTTCTCCTACAAAAGCTGTCATCATCTACAGGTTGGTTCTCGGCTATCGTTTGGACAACACCAGTACGGTAGGCATTGAGGAAGCAATTTCTTGTTGCTGATAGGGAGAGGCAAACATGTTGATGCTGTATGTTGGCAAGCAGGTTACGAAACTCTGAATGAAAGTATTCTCACTGCAAACCACACATAATTCATTGATTGATTGAATTGGTCGAGATACGGTAGGAATAGTTGATTGCAAAGAAGGGAAACATTAGGATGAAATATCATAATAGTCCACATGTGATCCCGACTCGAACTTGTCTGAGAAGACCAAGTCGACCAGTTTTTTTGCGGAATCCTGTGGATCAATCAATTTCTTGTCAAAAGCAGGCTTGAGGCTCTTGTCTAACTTGGGCGCTGCTCGAATCTCTTCCACCATGTCAGTTTCCAGAGGCCCTGGTGCATAGTTGAGCACTTTTATGCGAGGCATTTCCTTGGCCATGGTGGCATGATAATTGTCTCTAGCAGCCTTGCCTGCGGCGTATATTCCCATGGTGGGAAATGCCTCGACGGCCAACAAGCTGGAAATGTTGATGAGTGTTACTTTTTGAGTGTCGGGATTCGAATTTTCCTGCACGAGCTGTGCAAATCGACTGGACAGCCACAGAGCAGACGTGACATTAAAGTCAATGGTGGCTTTCATGCCCGTCAAAGATGGACTGGACGAGCAGGGCCCCAGATATCCCAGAGACCCGGCATTGTTGACAAAGACGACGCGATCAAAACCAGAGAGATTGACTTCTTGGAACATGCGATCAAAGTGGGAGTCCAGTTGATCCAAATCGGACAAATCCACGGCAAAGCAGGAAAGTGTCACTCGAACCTTGGTCGACTCGTTATGATGCATGATGGTTCGACCCAGCTCTTCCAACAAATTTGCCGATCGGGCCGCCAGGACAACATGCAGTCGATCCAGTTGCTGTCGCTGCTGCTCTGATGAGTCCATACAGCAAAAGCCAGTCGTTATGGCCTTTCCCAGACCTTTCGACGCCCCCGTCACAATCAATAGCATCTGCATTCCCATCTTTAGACCAGTTCCGTTCCTGTCTTTTATTGCTGCTCTTCTTTGCTTCTTTGCTTCTTTGCTTCTTTCGCTTGGATCTTGGTCCGCTGCTTAGTTAGGGTTGACAGAAACCATGGTCGAATTATCGAACGGACCACAGATCCCATGTCGATTTTCAATAGGGTGAAGGCTACCGTACCGCCATTCTTTTCTAAAACATCGGGACATTCGGACAGAGCAGAATCTGATGTTTTAAAAAGGGAGCGGGCAGACCTGTTCGAACCGATCGCGGCAACACTCCGACTGAAGTCACTCCCTTCAATCTCCAATAAATAATGATGATGCTGCTCGGAGGGTTCACGCTGCATTTTGAGCATGTGCGCGTGAAACGGTACTGTAGTAAGTTTAATACTGATTTTGTTGACCATCGACGAGCCGAAAGGAGCACAATGGAATTTATTAACTGAAGCATGTATTACTCTTGCCCCTTTTCATTCGTTGGTAAACGCCTTGATACAGTACTATAACGGTACTGTACTTATTTAGAGGGTGTTCCACGTCACTGGACGCTCAAAGTTGAAGATGACCGATGACCGAGGACTCTTTTTCTTGGGGTTCACAGCAGAGAAAAATACTACGACTGTGCTAAAACCCAGAACTGCTCCTTTCAAATACCCTGTACTGTAAGTACTCTCCTTGCTTGTTGCTTGTTGCTTGTTGTTGTTTGCTACCGGTAGCAAGCTACAAATCCTGAAGTCGACAGCTTTATTCCTACGCAGATACTATCTACATGTCTTTCTTCATATACAGCGTACAGTAAAGATGAAAGCAACGGAGACAGCTGCCAATATTGTTGACGAGAGTGTCTCATTGGAAGCGGCAAGGGAGGCACATGTAGAGCATGAGATAGCCGAGAAGACAAACGATGAGAGCGCAGAACGTACCAACACAGGTCATCTTGAGGTCGGGAAAGCTGAGACAGAAACGGTTAGCAAGATGACGGGAATGGAGCAACATGCTCTGCAGAAGATGAAGAACGAGGCGTCTCTGAGTGACTTCCATTTGGATGGGAACAAGCAAGAGAACGCTCTTGAGATGATGAAGAAGGAGGAGGCGATGACACTCGTCCCTTCTACAGTCTCTGATGGCGATGCGAGGAACCATTCCGCCATTGACGAATGCTTTGAAGAGAGCACGGATACTTCCAACAACATCCTGCCTTTGCCATTGACTCCTGGTGCGCCAATCATGCTGGCATCACTTCCCGGGGCAATTCCAGTGACGCCAGGGCTAAGCGCGACGAGACATAACCATCAGGCAGAGGTAGACCGTCAAGGTATCGAACCATCCCAGCGAGATTCAGTTGAGCGAGACGACGAAGAGCAGCCTGCAATGCAGGTTATTGATGGGGCTGTTGTCGTCGGCGATGAAGAGAACGGTGGTGGTGTCGCGCACGTAGCTCGAGAGCACATCCCAGTCCAAGAGAACGAGGTGATCGATGGTACGATTCTGCCAGAAAGTGCCCCAAAGCCAGCCAGCAACAAACGGTGGGCTATTCTGATTGGAACTTTTGCCGTCGCGTTCTGCGTGGTAATCATTCTTGCCATTGCCTTGAGTCCTCGACCAGAAGACGACGATGCTGACGTGCAGGTTCCTCTTGAGACTGAATCGCTCAATGAAGAAATGCAGCTGTATCCTTTCTTCTCAGAGGGCTTACGTACTGAGGTGAAGGCAGGCATTGAAATCATTGGCAGTCCCTTGTACTTTGCAAATCGCTGGATGCTGGAAGACCCGCTGCTCGAGACCTACCCTCCGGAACGAGAGATGCAGAGATTCAACATGGCGGCGTTCTTCCTTCTAACCAATGGTTACAATTGGACTAGACGAGACGGCTGGTTAAGCTACTACATCGCTGAATGCAACTGGTTTTCCAAAAGCATCGAACGTCCTTGTGATGACACTGGAGTACTCATGAACCTCAACCTTTCCTCCAACAACCTGCAAAGAGCCTACACGGATGAGACTATCGACTTTGGCACTATTCGATCGTTCGATTTATCCTATAACAACTTTACAGGTCCACCACCTCCGCTTAGAGCTCACAATCTTGAAATCTTTGTGGTCTCCCATAACAAGTTCACCGGACAGGGAAGGGGGAGTGGCATTCTCAATTCCAAGCTTCGGGTCGTCAAACTCGACAGCAATCACTTTATTCGAGGCAATCCAAATGTGTTCCTTCTCTTGCCACACTTGGAAGTATTCAATAACTCAAACAACTTCAAAAGCAACCGCGAGAATCCCTATTCGGGGTTAGTCGCCCGTTGCAGAAACTTGACTCACTTGGCATCGGCGAACAACAATCACTACGGCATGATTCCAACAGAGTTGGGCAGGTACGTGAAGGAAAGAATGTGTCACGCAATTCACGAGGACGGCATGTTACTCACAATTCTTTTTGCTGCTGCATCTCCAAGCTTGAGTCGCCTCGAGGAACTGGACCTTGCACGCAACCCCCATATGAGTGGGCTAGTACCATCAGAACTGGGACTGTTGACTAGCTTAACAAAGTTGGATCTGGGTGGAACTTCGGTTTCGGGGGTTCTTCCAGAGCCACTATGTGAGAGAGTTGCTCAAGGGAGGCTGCATATTGTTGCCAACTGCACGCTTGTAAGGTGCTGTGGCTAGCTCCGCGCCTCACCGACTACGCGTGTGCACGAATACAGTTCAGAGACAAGTTCTAACTGTGGCCCTCGGTTTTGGAGCATCAATCTGGACAGGTAACAGGGCTGCGCCCTACGGGGGAGTTGCCAATTGAGAAACCTTTCGTGGTTTGTTATCCTTCACTGTACTACGTAGAAGAACACCGGCAGCATGACCCCTTTGCAAACGATTCTTTTGCGCGTGCAGATACCTTCCTGCACCCTCTCGGCAGCTCGTCCTGACTATTGCAGCCTCACAACTTGCGGGGGGTTGTCCAGTTACCTCTTAAAAGGACAAAAACAAAGTCAAAGCTACGTAGGAACTATAACAGTAAATTTAATCACTTCTTAATAACTATCTTGCTTGCTTGAATCAATATGTGCTGTGCTTGTCCACTGATTTTCCAATCTGTTCACTTTTGACTCGCGTGTTGCCACCAATTAATTGTCCCTGATTTTCCAATCTGTTCATTTTGACTTGCGTGCTGTCACCAATGAGGGACCTCCTTGTGGTTGAAAACTCTTCCTAAGATAAACGCTTACCACCAGCCAAAAAATCCATGCATTCCTCCAGGAGGTGGAACACCATCAAAGGGAGGCGGACCATGGTCAAAACGAGGGTGTCCGTGACCGGGACCAAAGGGTGGCATCGGACCATCGCCATCGAAGGATGGAGTGGGCGGACCACGGCCGAAACGGGCGGAGGCAAAGGGTGGCATATGACCATCATCCTCGAAGGATGGATTTGGCGGACCATGAGGGTGTCCGTGACCGGGGCCAAATGGCGGCATTGGGCCATAACCCTTTGAGGATGGAGGGGGTGGACCATTGCCGAAATGAGGACATCCATGACCGGGGCCAAAAGAGGGCATTTCGGCACCGCTAGGAGGATGTGGTGGACCATGACCGCGACGATGAGGTCCAAAGGGTGGCATTTCACCACCATAAGGATGCGGGGGTGGACCATGGCCGCAATGGTGAGGTCCAAAGGGTGGCATTTCATCGCCATAAGGAGGCGGGGGTGGACCATGACCGCAATGGTGAGGTCCAAAGGGTGGCATTTCATCGCCATAAGGAGGTGAGGGTGGACCATGGCCACGATGGTGAGGTCCAAAGGGCGGCATTTCAGCACCATAAGGAGGCTGGGGTGGACCATGACCACCGCGAGGTGGGAAGCGACCAGGTCCAAAAGGGCGGCTTTTCACATAGTCTTCCTGCTGACGGTGCGGAGGCATTGCGTTAGCGAAAGGAGGTACATGAGGAGCATCCCAAAACGAAGCATATGGAGCGCTAAAAGGGAAAGGTTTCCACCAGATACCAAATGGTGGGGAAGCAGGGACACCGGCGTTGGCATCGTCTGGGAATCCACCAGGAGGGCCAAAACGTCCGGGAAACTGGCCATGGTGGGAGCGACGATGAGGATGAGGATGAAAGCGGTGATTGGGATGGCGACGCCAGTGATGACCGGGTCCGTGCCAAGGACCATGGCGGCGTCCTCCATCGAAATGATGAAACGCAAAGAGAGCAGCAAGACCAAGGATGGCAAGCTGAGCAAGCTTGAGCAACAAGGCATGGAGTCCCACAATTTGAGCAAGGCTTGCGATGATGACCATGACTACAGAAGTCTTGACGACGGTTCGAGGATGGAAGAAACCTCCAGGAGGGCCGTGGCCGTGGAAACCATGTCCGTAATGCGGACTCGGAGGAGGGCCGGACGGAGGTGGCGGACCAGCAGATGGACCGGACGTAGGTGGCGGAGGAGGTCCATAGGACGGAGGGTAAGGACGAGAAGGTGGGTGCGTCAACATGATGGGTCCGTTAAGGTGTTTTGTTTTTGTTTTCTACTGAGTACGATGCAGTCTTTTTGTGAGCTCACTCTTTGATTTTCTCTGGGGATTTTAACTCGTGCCGGCCGGCGCACGATTGGAAAACATCTTATTCCGCCTGGATTAGTTGAAACGATTGCTGATCAATTTTCAATGGTCAACCAAAGGTCGCGTTAAGCTCTCTTCTTCGCCTGGATCTCTCTCTGATACGGTCCTTTACACACTGGCATCATGCCTGATCGAATGAAGAGAGGAGGAACCAAGCAACCGTACGAACCAAAACAACAGCTCACTCCTCTGAGGTTTGGGTTTGGGTTCTTTGGGTTTGGGATTGGGTTTGGCCCTTCCTTTTGACACGATCAGGATGCATTATGGTAGCATCAACAGCAAGGATTCTCAGCTTCGTGCTTGTTGCTCCCTCTTTTTAGCTGGTCTCGTCGCACCGTCGGAGTGTACCGTAGGCAGCTTTTCGTTGCTTTTGTGTGTGAGAAAATTTGGTCTGAAGATCGCATCGTCGCTCTGGCTGCTGCCGCGACAAATCTTCTCAAACAAACAAGGAATATAGAGCATCTTACTGAACACGTTCGTTTGACTGACACTGCATCCCAGTTGCAAGCACAGATATGGCGTGCATACCGTGTCCATAGGTAGCCATTGTCGCAGGGTCGCAATTTTTTGGTAAATTTTGGATGATATTAACTACATGGTAATTGTACTTTGATGGATTTTTCTTATTTTGATTCGATTCTAGTTAATTTCTACATAACGACAAGGAATGGCTTCACATGACTCGAAGAGAGAGCGAGAGAGAGATTCTACCGGTGGCCGCCCCTGCCACCCCCTTGATGACCGCCTCCTCCATGTCCGCGATGATGGGACCCTCCACCTGGGCCACCGCCTCCATGATGTCCTGGTCCGCCATGCTGATGATGGTGTCCACCACCGTGAGCCGGGGGGCAGCATAGAAAGAACAACGGAAACAAGAGAAATAGGGGGTTGAAACAGCAGAATGGACCATGATGTGGAGGCATTTTTGTTGAACTGTTTTGGTTTTGCTTCAGATGAGTAGTTTGTGAGCTTTATGAATTCTCGTATGACCATCTTGACGTGCATAAACAATCGTACAAGGAGCTAAGAAGCATTCGTCCAGTTGGAGTGGAGCGATCGAGAATACTCGATCTTGCAAACAACTGAACTGTGATTGGCCGTGCTTGGCTGTGATTGGCAGACGCGCAAACGCTCCAGTGCACACGAAGCGATCTGTCACTGTTGAGTTATTACAGTAGTGGGTGTTAATTAATAATAAGGCTACGAGCAACGCAAAAGTGGTCTAGTTTTGGCCCTCTCTGCGAAGCAACACGTGAAGTAGCGGCATCTCCATGGACTATGTAAATATATAGGGTTCCCATCCATTGCCTTGTTATGACTTCGGAAAGAGTTCATTTTCCCCCATTCTCAGCACTCACCAACCACAGGGCATTGTGCGGAGTTACAAGTCCAGAGAAGTGAAGACGTCACCTGCTCAACTAATTTGGCTTAGTCTCAATTACATGAACGGATAGGAATCATCAATCATGCTGCAACGCACCAGCACCCCAGCAAATCACCATTCTACGTCTTGTCTCCCCCCGATGAATTTCCCTTGCCCACTGCCATTCTCCATTGGAACATAAAAGGAAGGCTTCAACCTTATTATTCAGTAGGTATCAAGACCCTGTCAATTACATGCACAATGCCATTCTCCGCTACAACGTCCGATTCAAGGACTGTGGCACCATTCACTTTTTTGACTAGAGGACCGGTGCGACCAGAACGCTTGCGAGAAGTTGTCACATTTCCGTTGGCTAGAGCGGTGGGAAACGGACCTCCCGATCTCCACGGATTGCCAAAGGTGCGCAATTCTTGGAATGGTAGCACATGATAGGAGAGCACATTTACCAAAGCCGTCATGTTTGCCTTGAGAAGGTCAACAGTCGCAGCTGGCAGCGCTTCGAAAGCTTGGTTTGTTGGGGCCATCACTGGGACATCAGGAGGGGGGTGAGCAACGCGCAGCAATCATCGTACCTTGTGAGGGGCATGACATGCAATTTCCTGTACGGTGCCCAGTACATACCTGTGAAGGGCCCGTCACCTTTCAATAGATCCACGAGGCCGGCAATACCAACGAGGTTCACCAAGGTACTAAGACCGGCATCAATTGCGGTTTCGACAATGTCAGGTTGACTTGGCGGGCCGTAGAACCAGCGCCACACTCCCAGATCTCGAGAGGGTGCCTTCTGGACAGCCTCTTTCGAGCCATCCCCATTGGCCAGATCAAACTGCTCGTTTTCTCCTGAAATCCTCAGGGAGGAACCACGCGCAAGTTCCAAAGACACCACAATAGCAACGATGAGACGCAACAGCTTATCCATTTTCTTTCCTGAAAACCCAGAACAAATGGGACTTTCCGTTTGCAGTGCCCATCTCAAGGAATCTCTATGAAATGTATTCGACGAAATGATGATTATCGGATCAACCGAAGGCCAAATGAGTCAGCCAGAGACCTCATGTTTCGCAAAAATTGGGTGCTCGGACAGTCGTGGTTCATGCTCGATTCGGCAATGCTGGCCGAAAGTAAAGGAGTCCAGTCCGATCATGCAGAACTGAACGAAGCAACACTGGTTGCACTGAGACGCAAACGCCGTCGGGAGCTGGCCACCGATCCTTTTTTAAAAGGTGGAGTAGCATTGATCCAGTAAACGATGCAGCTATGGTACCACGATAGACCCTAGCCTCTTTTTTAAAATTGGTGCAGAAACGCAACCTAAAAAGATTTTGAACACAGCTACCGTACCGATATACTTAGTAGGTCAGAACTCGCAGATGCTTGCTTAGTTCTCGCAATAATGATCCCTATCGTCAAGATATGGTACGTCCTTGCAACGCTCGAGATGCTGCCCATAGATGCAGCTCAGATAGTTGGCACGCAGAAGGTCCTCATAATAGTCATAATCGTTGCGGTCACCTTGAAGATGACAACTTGCAAGGTTTCTGGTGGATCTCTTGACAGATGAATAAAGTGGAGCGATGGTTCCCATCCACGCTGATCTTGGGGCGAGGCGGTCTTTCCTGGTCAGCGCCCGCCTAAGTATCCTTCGAAGTTGACTCCGTCCAAACCAATGCGGCTTGCGGACGAGTGTCGTTGACTTGCAGGTGTTCCTTCTCCAAGACGGCTGCCACCTCTTTCTGTGTCTTTGGAAACCAAAAGTAGCATGCATTCACCTCAACTATTGCCAAATCTCGGATTTCATAGCTAATGATCTGGAAGGAATGATTGAATCCTTCTGGCAGATTGGTTGTGCCAATTTGATAAGCTCTCATCACAAAGTTTGTGGCACTTGGGTTGGTGTGGTGGACCTCATGCAAAGTTGCAACCTTGGCTCAAGAGAGCAACTTCTTTGCCCCTGGTCCATGACATTGGAAATGGTACAGTACAGATAGATATGCATACGGTAGATGCACACCATTCACATAAGTCGTGTGATGGCTTCGCATTGCAGGATTAGCCCTAGCTCTAAATTGATCAAAAGATGGATCCGGATTCAGCACAGGTGACATTCAACCGCTGTTTCACTGGCAGTTTCACGTCAATCGGTCTCCCAACTGTCCCGTTTGTCTGTCCGTACAATCATGAAATAACATTGTGGAACGGCTGCACAAAGGAAAGGCCTGTCCGTCGGAGGTACAGAAGCTCCATCTTTATCGGTTGCAGCCCGGCGTAATACGGCACTGGTAGAGCCGAAGCCAGCAACGGTACCTAAAGGGTAGCACACAAGGATTGATTCCATATTCAATTCATTCGGCGGTGAGATTCCTGCTTGGACCAACAGGCGAGAATCTGATTTATTTGCTTTACCATGCCCCAAAAGGGCAAATCCATCAAGTCCAAAATGATTGCAACTGCATGTAGCTAGAGACCTACCGGTACATACATATCTTGTTGAGGTTTGTTGTTGTTATTACTATTAATAGACTAGTTAATAGCTACTAGCCAGCTAGACTAGTATTCTCCCACTGCCCCATTGCCGATACCGGTAGGACCGACTAAGACCTATGGCTTGCCAGCTGGTGGCGCCTGGGTCTTTTCCGTGTGTCCCAATTAGTTTGCGGACACATGAACTACACGTCGCCTTTTGTTTCGCCAAGCGTAGCCTGGAAGTTCGTCGATGGCTTTTATGGTTCAAGAGGGTCACCAGTCGAAGGCAATATAAGGGACCGAACTATAAGCAGATTTGTACAAAAGACAATGGATAACCAGAACCAGACCTAACCAGACCTTGGTTGGTATTTACTGCAGTAAATCCGGGTTACTGGCTCCTTACTGTCCAATTACTGCCATTGTTGGCCACCTAATTACTGCAGTAAGTAATCCCATGCAGTAAGTAATCTGACTTTGCAACAGTAATATCCAGTAAATGACAGTAAAAGCACAGTAATTAGCCTTTATTACTGCAATTACTGTAGTTTACTGCCTTCAATTGGCTTTAAATTACTGTGCATAATTACTGCTACTGAGGAATTACTGCATTACTGCCATTACTGCTCCTTTTACTGACCTCATGGCAGTAAGGAATAAACAGTAAATACCAACCAAGAACCAGACTGCCCATGTGGGAATCAACGCTTCTATTCTGTTCTTCAAGTCTGTCCCACTAGTTAGAGCCAAACAGTAATGCATTATGACTTCTCGCCACTGACGTCCCCTCAATCTTGCTAGAGTCTCCTGTATAGGGCTCCTGTACACCTCTACGTATACTGAATAAATGTTTGTGTACCTTCCTGGGGCCCCGGCAGATAAAAGTGACTGGTAAAACGTATGTTCCGTCGTCCCGATGACAATGAGGTCTGCAAGGTCATTCCGCAACCTGCGTACTGATGACACCACCTGAACTTATCTGAATGCGAATTTCGCAGCTCCCAGTTTGGCTGATGAGAAATTAATTTACAGGCGGCTTCGTTTTTGTTGATTCAAACGCGCGCCACACTTCTCAGTACACTTCTACACGAGCTCTCCTAGAAGTGTACCAGAAAAGCCGGCACGCGTTTGCATCAATAAGATCGAAGCTGCTCGTACCTTGTCAGAAGTCCTGTCCTCATAACTTGGCAACTGAGCTCTCCACGCTGCGCTTCTTTCTTTCTTTGACCATAATAACACAACACCGAATCTGTCTTCACCATGAGCTTGACAATCGACCAAACCAACATGATGAACCAACCCGATGACGACGCCTCCGATAGCGGAGAGTCTACGGGTGCCCCCGAAGCTCCCTCCACCACCGCCGAAGCCCCTAACCGATACGAAAAGTTGGAGCGCCTCAAGCGTGAGAAGCGCCTGGCCATGAACCGCGAATGTGCTCGTGCCCGTCGCCGCCGCAAGAAGGTCCGCATGGAGCTCCTCGAGAGCCGCGTCCAAGAGTTGACCCAGAAGAATGGCAAGATTGCCGAAGCCAACGATGCCTTGCGCATGCGTGTTGCACAGCTCGAAGCGGAACTGGGAGCTGCCGCGTCGGGAATGGCAATGGGCATGTCCGCCGGTGGCCCCGACGCAGCTCAGTTCCTGGGAGGTAACCGAATGCCTGGATTTGCTTCTCCCGATGCTAGCCAGGCGCTGCTTGCTGAGCAGCTCAACCTGCAACGACGAGCCGCCTTGGTCGGTCTTGGCGGTGCCGAAACTGGGTTGGGATTGGGGGGCGCAGCTGCGGCACTCAACTGCGGTAATAGAGGAGGCAATGTTCCATCGTCAGGACCAATGGGCAATGGCAACATGGACGCATTGCGCTACATGCAGATCATGAAGGCAAGGAGCGCCATGAGAGAACCTTCCGCTGGTAATGGTATGCATGGCCAGAATGCTGCCGCCTTGCTGGGTGGTCAATTCGGAGGAGGACCAGCCGCCAGAGGAATGCACGGAGCTGACTTCTAAAAGTTCACGCAAACCAATTGATCCTTATCATTTATCATAATTAATTCATGTTTTACTCCACGATTTGCTTTGCTTCTATGTAGCCAGAAGCTTCGTACTGTACAAGACCGCTAGCTATGCAGCTGTGAACTGTTTTAGGTTGTTGCCCTTTGCTGTATGTCGAATGTGCCCGAGTTTATCGGTATCGTCTGCCCTACCGGTTTCGTCGCAAGTGTCTTGCCAACTAATGCTGCCAGCCGCAGGTCGTCAGCATTATTTACGAAGTGGCTGAGCTTCTACTAGCTAGTCCGGAAGAGCCTCCGGAAGTGTAGCTAGAGCTCTAGCTAGGACCGGTAGATCAATCCTCCAGACGGAGTGGTGAGGAGGTAAGGACGGATCAATTGCAGCACCCTCTGTGCAGACTACAATGTAGTAGGCCAGCTAAAAATCCCACAAAAGTTGATGATACCACTATAGAGCAAACCACCGCTGGAAGGAGACAGCTTCCCCGCCGCCAGTTTCCCCCAGCCAGCCACGGTACGAGCTACTGTTGCTACTAGAAGTGCGCTGGAAGGAGACAGCTTCCCCCAGCGCTAGCCACTAGGAGTGTCCACCAGTGTACACATACACTTCTTGTACACAGCACTAGACTACATGTACAGCCCTGTTTGTTCGCTGATGTAAATAGGTCTTGGGCTTTAGCCATCCATAAACAGCCGAGTGTGCGGAATGGAACCGACGCTACCGACGACATCCCAGAATTTGAAAACCATACCATTTCTGCTATGATTTGAGAAAACGAGGACAGCAGCTGCTACATGAAAGATCATGGAACATGGAAGGCAGAAGCAAATGTAAAACGAAAAAGTTAGTACAGGTACATGCTATGAGTAAAGGTAGCTTTATAAGTGTGAGCCTCTTTTACACCTAACCTGCCGGGACGCCCAGGATGAGAAAAGTTGCAACTTGTTACTATTTAAAATACGAAGTTAGCTGGGACTGAACTGTTGGGGTTTGCATACTTTGTAGGCTTGGGCAAAGATGAATGCACCTTAAACTGCCCTCCTGTAGTTGCCCGTGCTACGGTGCTAATGATTATCTCACCCAACGCAGCAGCCTGATGTCAGGTTCAGCACCACCAAACAGGAAGTAACGGGCAAAATCACCAGTTTTTTCAGCCCAGATATAAATACTTGCATCTAGCAAGTTCTAGATCTAGTTATCTACATGTACTAGATTAGTCTGGATTTTGACACGGAACCTGCGTACCGGTATCTTGCATTGCCTGACTTCGCTTGCCTGCTAACATGGCGTGGCGATTGATTATGATCCTCTTACCGGTGAGGCATTACCACTAGGAGAAGCAGCAGTGTACCTGTAGAATCTACGAACCTTTAGAAGGAGACAAGGAATTCCGAATGCGCTAAGCATCCCCTCTACTAGACTACTATTAATAGCTAGCTAGAAGCCAAGAAGACCAAGAAGACGAAGAAGGACATCAAAATCATAAAATCATTGCGACGTGTGTTCCGCTTGGCAATTGGCGACACAACCTGGGCGGCAGCAGGATGCCAGCAGGAACGACACGCATGATGTTGCCGGTTGCCGCTACCGTACCAGTAGAGTGCCTTGGCGGACCCTTGAAGAGATAAGAATTCGACACGAGGGTTCAATGATCCATCAACATGCACGTGGTATGATAAGTCAAACATACTCCAAAAGTAGCCAAGCAGGATTGGAAGCGCTTTGGGGGAATGCGAGATTATATCCTGGCCAGCTCTGGCCATTGTGGAAGGTCGAAGGTTTGGCGTGATAGTCGTGATGTCGTGATGTACCGGTACCACTCTTCCACCTTGTAGCTTTTGCAGCTAGCTAGCTAGCAACGCTGAAGCTCACTGTTGCTTGCATCATGATACTGAGATTGCGTCCTTTCTAATTTCTACTGTACCCATGCACCCTGATCCCAGAGCATTGGTACTCGCACTGGCTACCTTGGGTGGCGTCCACACATCCACAACTGAAGAGTGGTACTCCGGAGTAACACTTTTTTGGCTCTCAAACGTTCCGTTATCCGATGAATACGTTCACGTGCCTGTGCTCTTCTTGATGGGTTTGATGGGCGGGGCAACCTCTGTCCCGTTCTCGGCGTTCTGTGAACAATCTTGTAATCCCAGCCTGTTTACTCTTAGGAACCGCGAAGCCGAACGAAACCTCGCCGTCAACGCACCTTCAATCGCATGAGTTCATTCCACGATCAACAATAACTCTGTTAGCTCTCTGTTGCATTATGTCTTAGTTTGCCCGTGACCATCTGACCCGAACTTCAATGTATTTTTCTTAGAGCCTTATTTCGATAGCTGCAGCACATTCAATTTACCCCAATGAGTGCAGTTGCCTGAACAGCATGTTCGATGTGGAAGCGAAGAGCGTGTCCTCTTAACTGTTACGGAAACATGTGTTGGCTGGGTGCCGAACATTCCTAAGTATTCCTTACAAACGGCACCCTTCATGCAATTTTTCAGTCCATGTTGAGATGTTCTTACGAGGATTTCTGCTTGAAACTGAGACAACAGTGACAATGCGAAATTAAGGCAGAAGACTGACCGCCACCTTCAACGTCTTACACACCAAGCTGGATTGCCTGCTTTTCAAAGGCAGCATCCCAAAGACCCATCTTGCTTGCTGGTCGAACTGCCCCAAACGGAATAAGCAACACGAAGGTACTATAGATGCTCGCCAGCGAAACGAACTCTCTCTCGTTCCAGTTAGGGACCAACTTCGCCGCACAGCCATCACAAAAAAAGATCAGAAAGATACAAGTTCTTCTACTAGTACTCAGTATTTGCTTCCTGCTAGCTAGCCATCAGCTTGCTTGAACCAATTTAGTGTATGCCATAGTGCACCATGTCAGCAAAAAGGGCAAGCAAGAGAGACGCCGATTCATCGGACGAAGAATCTTCGGAGGATGAGGAAGACTTCACGGGGCCAGCACCCGCCGCAGATGGAGGCGTCCATCAAGGGCGACCCGGTGCCCCCTCAATAGAGCAACTGAAGCGAGAGAAGCGCTTGGCTATGAACCGAGAATCAGCCAGAGCCAGACGAAGACGTAAGAAATATCGTTTGGAAACATTGGAGCAGCGGGCAGAGGACCTTAGCCAACGCCACCACAACTTGGTTCTAGCAAACCAAGGGTTGAAGGCACGGGTTGCCCAACTGGAAGGTGAACTAGCGGCTTCCAGGCCAGGCGGCACAGGGATTGGAGTCCTCGCTGGAGGCGCAGGAACAGGTGCAGGTATGGTTGCTGGTGGCAGTGATTCAGCTGGACGAGCTGCTTTTGGTGCTGCCACTGCCGGCTTGACGGCAGAGCAAAGGGCGTCTCTGGGCATGGCTCACTTTGGAGCTTCAGCATCGAGTTCTTCTTTGCCTTCTTCTTCTTTTGGAATGGGAAGAGCGGGTTTGTCTGATCATGAATTGCAGTTCCTGCAGATGCAGCAGCTCATGGCCCAGCAAGAGGACTCACTATCCGGTGTTGGCAGCTCTGAAGGTGCTGGTGCCGGTGCCGGTGCTTCCTCGGCTGCTCGATGGCTTGCAATGCAAGATTTACAAGCGCAAATGGCTCGGACAGACCAATTGGCGGCCCTCAGAGCAGGCAGTGGTGCTGGACTTGGAGGAGGTCAGGTAGGTGGAGAACTGGATCGCCTCAACATGGTAAGTGGTTGAGACCTTGGCCGGCAATCTTGTCACCTGTTTTATTTATCCCTCAACGATTCGATTCGTTTGCAGCAGATACCTGATCTACGAAGACTGGATGAGCTCAGCCGCATACGAGCCTCAGAGGGATTGCGAAACCCATCTGTACTGGACATGGCTCTTTCGCCGGCGGATGCAGCGGCTAGGCGACTTGCACAGCAGCCGTTCGACGTTTCTGCCATCGGCGAATCTAGTTCAAGCGGCATTGCGAATCAACCCCAAGATCCCAGCGGAAGAAGACGGGACTTCAAGTCTGACCTCTACGACAGGTTAGCAGATACCAACAAGAAGTTTCCTCCTAGAGGGAGCTGAGAAAACACAATTGCAATTTGACAGGTACTTCTTTCTTTCCAAGCAAGAATCGCTCCAAGCAAGAGCCCTTGCTGAAAGCAAACCGCATAAGATCACTACAACCAGATGCGTCGCTTACCGGCAGCTAGATAGTTAAGTAGCCTCGAAAGAAAGTAGTAGATGATACCGATAGCGACAGAGGTCAACAAGAAGTTCGAATGAAGTTCCGAAAAGTTCCGCCAGTCTGCACTCAAAATCCAGAGTAAGACTCCTTCCAGTAGAGCCACTTCAGTCAAATTGGGCTTTGTAGCAAAATGTGAACTTGAACAAGCGTTCAAAACTAGCAGGGAAGCAACTTAGACGAATGTGGAATGTGGCCCAGTGAGGAATGTCAATGTATCGAGATGCTGAAGAATCTTTTGAGTTTCGAGCGAGACGACTCATGGCCAATACGTAGAATACTCCCAAACCATGTCAAACTTTCATGAGCATGAGATTTGAGAGCATCAAGCGGATTGATTGTATCCCTTCCGTCACCTCTTCTGACAACCGAAGTACAGCAACCCTTTACATGTAGCATGTAGCAGTACCAAACTCAAAGCGCGACCTTTGTGATCGGCCACTTTCGAAGCCAGCAAAGCTACTATAGTGAGGCTTCTGCCGGGGAGAATCAGGCCAGAATGTGCTCCGAAGCCGCTGATACCATTGCATGTACATGTAAATTTTCCAGCCATTATAGGGGCAGGTGGACTGACAATGGACGAAGGGTGGCAGCGGGATGGCTGACACATCGTCTGAGTCTGGAAATGTTACCGTCACAGCAGGACCAAGCGAGGACCAAAGCCAGTTACCTTATTACGAGTACCTAGCTAGGTAGGCAGATGCCTGATGGTGGGATAGGTTCGATCAGCCACTCCTCTTGCTTTGCTTGCTGCTATGGACGTAATGTTCTTCCTGGCCAAGCAACTCCAGCAACGGAAGCGATTAGCTAAGCCATAAGCAACCAATCTGCCTGCACGATTACAGAGGATAGCCCAGCCCGTACAAACATCTGAAAATGCATCTCCTGAAGAGCAACTTTGACACCTGTAACATGCGTCCTCTGCCTGACCCTCTCCCAGGAAGCAGTCGGTGAAAGAAGCAATGAAGAAGGAATAGATCTAGTAGTAGCGTAGTAGCTTGCTAGCTAGTACTGCATCATTCTCCATTCTCCAGCCATAGAGGTGGATTCCAAAAAGTTGACACCTATCAGATGCCTCTCTCGGGAAGCAGTCGCTGAAGACCAGATGCAAGGGCGCCAGCGACGAAAGCAACCCCCAAACAATGCATGTCCCGTTGAGGTGGATGTCAGCAACGTAGTCATCGTTAGTGCCATAGGTGCCTCCAAAGCTGTCAGGAAGCAGTCGGATCGGCATCGCTAGGTAGATCCTCCGTTCACAGGCCAGAAGGTTGGATGCTGTGTGGGCGTCTGGATTTAATGAAACATCCAGGAGCATAGATGAAAATTGTTCTGAATGTTCTTCTTTCAAACTCTGTACATGTCCATACAGTGCCGAGGGGAACAAGCCAGAAAATGGAGACCCAGTTTTCTGCCACTGTGTTCATCTTTCAATCGCCATTCTGCTCCATTCGCAGATGAGAATGTCCGCCCTCAACTCGCGCATGTCTCACGTAACAGCAAGAGGAAGATGAGGTAAACAAACTTTGTCATAAAAATATTTGAGCTATTCTTTGTTTGAATTGGAATACCTCATCTTTGTAATACTGGAGCTGTTTCAGTACCGCGTGGAAAATCCGTGTTGGCACAAACGTAAGCGGCAATGCCTACGCTTCAAAAGGCCTCCGGTCATACGTCAATGACACGAGAAAAAGATCATGTAACTGTTTTGTAACATTACAGTGTTAACATATGCACTTTGCTCTTGGGATGTTGGCCATCAAGGATGAATGCTTCGAAGCTTCAACGAGAGAAAAGTAGGAAAAACAAGTATTATACTAGTCTAATAAATACTGTACAGTAGTATCATAAATAATGTTCAACCCATGTCTTGATCGATGATTCAACTTAATCCGATCGGAAGCGGCTCTTCCTATTGCTAGTCGTATGAAGATTTGTAGAATAGACATTAGACATTCAACTCGAAATTTACACAAATTCTGAGCTGTCAGCCTTGTGTACAAATGCCGATAGTCTTATTCACTGGGACCTAAGAGGGGAGGCCAAATTATGGGACAGACATTGAGACTGCAGCATGGAGCGAACTGGGCAGAACTGGGCAGTCGTTTTTGGTTCTCCAGTATGCTCTATGCAATTTTGGATCAAACCAGCTAAAACACAAACAAGAAAAGCAATGATGAGAGCTCAAGATTTTGGCCAAACTCATCATCGCACAAATTCAAGCGCATCTCATTCATCTTACTACTAGCTAGCAAGCATCATCTGCAAAACCAACATGTTCAGCATTGAAGACGAAACCAACACTCGCGGCTTCAGCGACCTCAGCCTGGGAGATTCGGGGCGCGATGACTGCCGCCGAAAGCGTCCAAGAACCACCGGGTCTCGCACTTCAGCTCCTTTGAGGCGTATGGTCACTCCAGAGCAAATTTCGTCGGCGCCTATTGTTCGCACGTCGAGAAGGAAGCGCGCTGTCCGCTCTGTTTCCTTTTCAGAGTCGCTCAAAGCCTTCGCTCCAGCCACCAATACGACGGAGGAGGTTGACGCCACTCAGCATTGGTACAATCGCATGGATTACGACCAATTCAAGCGCAACGTCAAACAGGACGTGCTTCACCTGGCCCGCCTTTGCCGCCAAGACAGCCTCGGCAAGGTCGACTTTAGCCAACAAACTGTTGTTGGAATCGAAAGATACTGCCGCTCCACTCGCGAACAGTACTCGGCCAAGAAGGCTCGGGCTCAGCTCATTCGAGCAGTTCTCGATCAACAGGCTGTGCAAAGGGCTACTGGAATGGAGGATCAGGAAACCATTCGCATGATGTCCGAACTTCACAGCCACTCCAGCAGCCAGCAAGCCTACCAAAGAGCACACGCTTTTCATTAAGGCATTCATTAGGCTTTCCAGTAGGGACTTTCAAAAACCAAGAAAAACGCATTCTTCATAGACAAACCTCTTAGACTTCAAATTACAATAAAATCAACGAATCTTTTGCAATCTCCCACTTTTCTGTTTAGATAACCTACCGGTATCTAGCTAGCTAGCGTTTCGTATGAAAGCGACAATGTAGTAGCATCACTGTAGTTGTGAGCCAAGGCAAGATACTGGTATGGTACAGGTGCAGATCATATGACCATTGGTGCGATACTCTTGCTTCAATGGCAACATTTGGAGGGAGAACACGGGCAGTCCTACAATCTCGCAGAGCGATACAAAGACGACTCTTGGCGTCGGGGTGCTGCCCTGATGGCTAAAGAGATGGTCAATTCACTTGATGTATTGATGCAACATGCTAGTATTGGAGTGATTCTCTTCCTTCAATCGCAACACACGGAAGAGAGCAAAGTCCCACCAATGAGTCGAACAACGACTCTTTGCGTAGAAGCGACATGCTAGTGTTGGACTACTGTTGGTTCAAGGGAGTTAAAACGCTGACGCAGCTTCTTCAGCTCGTCTTCGTTGCAGCCTGCCTCCCGGATGATGATTTGCCTTCCACCTTTTCCTCGCCTTCTTTCTTTTTCAGTTCCATGTATCCTTCAAACCCACCAATGCTTTGCCAGTGATCCATGGTCCCAAACAGCCAGTCGGTAAGGACATTCCCGAAATTGCCTTGGTTGTGTGTATGGTGAAAGTCATGAAAGGCGACTCCTCTGGCTCTAGACAAGAAACGCAGGGGCAAAGGGCTCTCGGGCCCGATAAAGCTGTAGCCACTATGTCCTTCATATGTGTTTTGCAGCCCAAGAACGATCCATATCAATAGGCAAAAGGGATGGCAAGGCAATATCATAATCCCAGCAAAGATGGGAAATTGATTGGAGAGGGCACCTTCGACTGGATGGGCAAATTCAGCTGCATAACCCACGCTGCCAGAGAACTCGTGGTGCTTCTTGTGAATCCTCTTGTACAAGAATTTGGAATGCAACAGTCGATGGAATCCATAAAAGAGAAACTCGTTGGTTTGCATCATGACAACGAAGGTGGTCATGGATCTACCAAAGGAAGGGATGGATGCATCAAAGTCCTGCAGGAACTGCAAGAAAACAGGAGCTGCCAAATATGTCATCAAAGGACCCATGAGCAGATGAGCCATGGCCAGATCTATTCCAAGGCGTAGCAACAGTTTGTGTTTGGGCTTCATGTAGGACTTTCTGTACATCTTGGCAGATTGGGCGATCTGGTACAGGTCGCAAATGAAGTATGCTGCGATGAAGCAAGATCATCCGGTTAGAAAGCAAGCATAAAATGTTTGGCAATGGAAACACCCCGTGTTGGTAAACTTACGGATATTTGTGAAGACAAACATTCCCGTGTGGACAAGAGAAAGCGCAACTGTAAAGTAAAGCGCATTGTCCACGCCATGTTCCTTAGCGGCGCCCCGAGTCCACTGATAGAACGGGGTGAGCAACTTAACCAGACAAGCCCCAATTGTGCACATCCAAAGGGTTCCAATCACTGTCTCTGTCATAACTGCTACAAACGTTGGATATGGCGGTCTTGGGTGGATTCGGGGGGAGGACCCAGTTCCCACCGACGATGTCGGCGTCAGCGGCTGGCACATTTTGCCGAAACCTGGTGGACTATTGTACCCTCTCAACCAGTTTGACAATCTTATGAATCTATAGACCGGAGAGACGCGTGCATCTGCAGAGACAAGGCCAAGGTTGCAATGGAGTTTTGTTCTTGTCAGTGACGGTTCCCTCAGCTGGAACTGAAGTCACCATGAGCAGCGCTACTTCCCGTGTCGGCAAAAGCGTGACCAATTACTGGTAGCTAGCTAGAACTCCTGCGAAAGATCTCAAGAACTCATGAGATCCAGGTTTGCATCTTTGCATCATTGAGTTGTTCTGGTACAGTACCGCTTTGGGTCAGGGAGAATTAACATCCGCTTTCCCTTCACTTCTGCAAAATACAGCAGATCTGCCTGCAAAGCTGCCATACATGCAGTCAAAGGACCCTGACATGGATCTCCCCGCGTCCTCATCAGGCACTACTCCCCGACCAATCGCAGGACCTTCTCGTGCTCCATCTCCAGGCTCCAGGCCCATGGCCACACCTGGACCAACACCAGACCCTTAGCCAAGCCGCACTCCAGGACTGACATCACGGTTCTTCCGGTGGAGAAAGGCTGTCACAGCTTGAATCATGATTATTGTCGTCGTTGCTTTTCGCCCTCTGAGGCAGGGCCTGCCTGAAAGCCACTCAGGCCTTGTCACTTCTCTTTAGAACGCCTGTTGGAGCCTATGCATAGCCTCTCAAAATAAAGCGAAGACTGGAAGACCGGTTGTTGCGAGTACAGCTACAGCAGGACGTGATGATCTTGCTAAAAGAGGTGAGAACATCAGCCAACTGGCTGCACTCGGAATGGAAACGAACCTGAACGTTCCTTCCTTATCGTGTCTACCACAACCCCCACAACCTCCAAAGGCGCCAAGTTGTTTGTCTACTAGATTCGCTTCGCGAGGTGCTTCGCGTTGGTCCTACTGCCTTCCTTCATTTCTAGCCACTCGGCACCAGAACTCCAGCCTGAAGGCTTGTCTCTGTCAATCCCAGTAAATTATATTTAGAATACTCACTTTTTGCTGCAATTGATAAAATATTTAGAATACTCACTTTTTGCTGCAATTGATAAAAGCCTAACGGGAGCGAAAAACTTGTCTTGTGGGCTGGCTGTCACGGCCTTTCCCACCAACACCAGCTAGCTAGCTCTAGCCAGAGTACTACTCTACCGTAGCCTGTACTACAGTAGTACTAGTAGTTGCTTTCTTGGAGTTTCGAAGTCTTCACCGCGAGGACGACTTGAGAAGCAGCCTGTTTGGCCTGACGATGAGTGGTTGCTGTACTAGACCAGCATGCATATTTTTGGCTTCTGCGTTGCGTCTTTTCACCCACTTCTGCGGAGTCGAGTCGAGTCGTGACCTTTCTGCTACCACGCGTGAAGCGAAGCCACCATGCATACCGACAGAGGACAGAGGCTACCTACGGTAACGAACCAGTAGACTATGCTAACCGCAACGAATGCGAGGAGTTAACTCAACTCCTCCAAGAAGTTCGAAAGGGCCTGACAGGGAGAGGACGACCTTTCAATTGTTATAAGCTGCACTGGGTCGGCCTCTCTTACAGCCAATACGCCACCACACGGAAGCTGTGGGTAGACCAACTACGAGGTGTCAGCTATGTTTTCTCTACTCTAGCAAACCAGATTCTGGAAGATCATGGACAGAGCAGTGAAGCAAACTAGCTAGATGTAGCTAGCTAGAAGTAGAGATTTTTCGCTGCTGAGCAAGTTATAAGTTATAGTAATGATGATGAGATTCTATGGATGCATTCTCAGGCGCGGCTGCAGGGCAATAATATGGAATGGGTCATGCTGCCGTGGAGTATGCATTGCGTGCAGAAGATCGGAGAGATCCATCTCGCATTCTTCGTCTTGTTGTGGAATGATCAATGGAGTGCATGCTCTCTTCGTACTTGAGCTCTTGTTCGCACAGTTGAATCTCTTCGGACAAGTCAGAAGCGTGCATCTTGGCAAAGACTTGCATCATGCTGGTGGCCTTGGCGTGTTGGCGAATCTTGTACGAGTTTTGCAAGTTCTTGACGTAGTGTTTGCTGGTCTTGATCTCTTCGCCCAGTTGTCGTTGTTCTTGTCGTGCCAGCAAGTCAAACTTGTTATTCTTGTTGCTATTAGTCTCTTTGTCTTTGCTGCTCATGCGACGCAGGCGGCGTTGCATGCGGGCGGCTAGACCAGTTCGAGGGCTGGTGGGGGTTTGTTGAGACGAAGGAGAGAGCATGATGTTGTGATCGTCAGCAGTGGAAGTTGTGGTACACGAGTCTAGGTCGTTCAGTGGTTGGTTGCGGTGCAGTGAGAGAGGGAACATTATTTGTGAGACGAGATGAAGCGAACTGACTTTGGTTGTTTGCTTTTGCTTTTGCTTTTGGTTGTGTTGTGTCGTTGGATTGTGAGCCTCATCACCACTCTTGTTGCTTGGCAATCACACAAAACAATTGAGCGAGTGCTGGTCCCCAGGCTTCTTGCGCTTGAAGCCTTCAAGAAAGAACAATCGTGCCTTGGTGGAGTGGGTTTCATGCGCGATAAAAAGGCCCAATAAATCCCGCGTGTTCGCCTTGCGGTTCCCTGCAAGCAGCTCAAGCTTTGCGTTTCGTGCATCTGTGGTGCAACAACATGTACATGTACGACTGTACCAGTACCAGTACCGGTATCGTGCACAGCTCGAGCTCATCCAAGCATGCTGCGGAACCCTCCACAAACAAGCATGAGAAGGCTGTTCGAGATCCATTCTTTTCGGCATCATGAGCCTGTCCTTTATACCGTTTGCTTGAAGAAGGTGGCGTCCAAAGAAAGCAGAGAAATATCAAGTCAGAGAGGGCATAAGTCAATTAATAATGAGATAGAGAGCTTCAACTGTGAGCAATAGCCTTCTGACATGACTCGAAATCAATAGTCATTGATTGCATTTGCAGCTTGATTTGGGGGGAGAGTATAAGTCCAACAAAAAGTGCTTACCGGTAAGATTTGCTTCAGGCTTCAGGCCTCTTTAGTACGTACTGTAATCTTATCTAATCTTGCACCTCCTTCTCCACAATGACTTCGGGTTGTGCTCCATTTCACCTTCTTCAACTCATTTGGATAAAGTAAGGAAAGGCCGGTTAAGTGTTCACACCTATAGCCTTTTTCGAGGAGCTGGCCTTTCGCGTGCAATAATAATTGAATAATGAGCCAGAGGCCGAGCGCCCGTTACGGGTTACGGGTCCACATACATTGCAAAAATAAATAATGCCAGATCTAGCTAGTAGTAGACTCGACTCATTCAGAGATTCAGAGAGATAGATGCTCGCTCAGAGACTCAGAGACCATGCTTTGATGTTTTGATGGCATGCAAAAGAGCCTATATCGACTACTGAGTAGCTTTGGCAGCTCTTTTGCGCTGTTGATGAGTTGATGACATTGCGCTGATGCTTCTGTAAAGAGCTATCCAATCCGAGATTCTGCCTCAAACGAGTTAATGGCGCCTTTTCGCGAGCTCTTTTCATCAATCGGCTTTATTTGAACAATCCAGTGCCCAGAAAAGCGAAACTTAATGCAGTCAAAAAAGGGCCCATCGGTCCAGAACAGGAGAACAGGAAGCCCAACCATCGAATGAAATCGAACGGTTTAAAGATTCGATTCATTCATAGCTCATTCAATCCAATCAGAGGTACAGTCGTAGCCATAATATGGAAACGAAGCAATCCTTGCGAAGGGCTTTTCAGCACCATTCGGCAACTGTGTACGACGAAGCAGAAACCAACCAGGCAAGACACCTCGATCCTCAACGCCATTTTGTTTGATAACAGTAAGATTTAAGATTTAGTTGGATTTGCCACTGGTCCCTCCACAGATCCCAGTGGTTTTAGCCTCTTGCTGTCTCTCTAAGAAACGACTTAATGACTGCACTTGACAGCTTTTTCCACCCAAACAAACGAATGTTGCATGCAGCAGCCCGAATTGGCTCCGGGCAACCTGCTCCTGGAGCAATATGATTCAGAGATGGCAGAGAATTCAGAATGGAATTTGATGTTATTAATTATGGACGACCCTACCATGGACACCCGAGCGAAGAGATGCAGGAACCTTCCTGCCACGAGGTAAACCAGTTTGAGTTTTGATCAGCCACCAGCCAGCAGTCAGGCACAGGCAACTATCAGTATCCACGGCCTCGAACACAATCGAAAGAACAAGGAGGGCTCCCGTATGCTGTGGCCAGTTGCTTGCCATTAACAGAGCGCTCATGGTAGACTACAAGCAAGTCGACGACGGCAAGAGCCTTGCTTGATGAAAATACACCTGCGAACTTGCGGGTTGCCTGGGGAAGCCTACCGTATCGATAATAGTTATTTTGGCCAAGAGGCCAGACACCGAATGCGGTGCCTGGCCGAATGCATGCTCGTGCAAACCTGCGGCTTCGTTCCTAATTCCTAATACTGTAGCAAGAAGCCTTGAGCCTTTTGCCCTCAATCCTCACTCTTCTAGTCAGCAGGCTACGCTGGGGTCGGTGAACCCTTGGCCATCTTGCACCAACAACCAAACTCTGCTCTGATGAATATTGATGATTTTCCAGAATTTGATAAATTGGTGATGTATGAATAATAACCACCGGTAGGCCATGGCGGCCCCACGCCCTGGTGCGGCAGAAATTTCCCAATGCCAGGAGAATTTTTGGCGGGCCAGATTGTCTACAACGCTATGCCACAACGAGTTCTCCGCCGGCGTTTCCTCCATTTCCTCCGCCGCCGCCGCTTCCCGGAGTGGTGTCCGGTTTGACCATACCAGTAAATGGGCCACCATTTTCCTGGACTACCACAGTTTGGAGCAACTGAATCGAATCAGACCGCGAAAGCCTAAGTTATTGTCATAGAGGTTGTCAAAGTCGCCGGCTTGCTCAATGGTCATCGAGTAGAGACGGTTCGTCACGTTATTATTTGCCGGAATGTTCATCTGGTCCATCAACCCAACCAAATTGATCCTGAAGGGCGAGATCTGCTCGGTTGCTGGTATCTGTCAAACGATCAAACAACTGGCGGCATACTTGCCGAAAAGAGGGAAAAGGGCCGCAAAGTCAACAACGGGAAGAAAAAAGTAAAAATTGTTGTCCCATACACACTCACGCTCTTTCTTTCGGTTGTCTGCCATCTTCAAAAGCTTCTGTGAAACCAAAGGCGGATAGAAGAAACAACGATGAGAAGTCCACACAGGCAGTTGCAGCAGAAGCAAACAGACCGTGAATGGTCCTGTGTCCTGTACCTTCTTTTCTTCCTTACGCTCCTCCTCTTTCTTCAAAAACTCTGGATCAAAGCGGACACGGACCCCATGCTAATTCCATTGGTGCTCCAAACGAGAGGGTGAGGTATGAGAGAGGAGAGGTTTGTTTGTGGTGGTGAGCTCCGATCGATCGACGGCTACTACTCTAGCTAGTACCGGTAGTAGACCATGCACGTTTAAACGTTGAGTCGAGTCAAGTCAGAATTTTGGAAAATACATGGAAGATTTGTTGGAAAATGCTGAATTCATAGTTTTGACCCATTCTGGCACTCTCGCTTCATTTTTTAGTTTCCATGAATCTAGAGTGTTTTAAAAGGATGTCCCACGGGGGATACTGTGTTCCTTGGTTTTAAGAAAGGCAATAACACGAGAATAGCACGAAAACAACAACAAAACCTCCATCATCCGAATGCTCCCAGCTTGCATCGCCAAATAGACATACAATACCTTTGTTTTGACTATTACATGTAATATACTATCTTGTACAGTGCACTTTACTGCATCTGAGCATGCCAAAAGAAACATAAAAGAGGCTAATGCGTGCTAGTGCTTTATCACCAAAGTTAACAGCGTCACCGCGACAACCCCGGTTTCGGAATACCAGCTTCAGTCACCGATTGTGTATATGGATCAACACATTTTATGTTTCTTTTATGTCACCCTGATAGAGCTCCTCCTCCTCTACAATGCATACTATAACACTCTGAGTAAACTCGCCACTGGTGTCGAGCAAGAATTGGTTGAAGGCAGCATCTCCAAATGGAGGTTTTGTTGTTGTTGTCGTGCTATTCTCGTGTTGTTTGCGAAGCACGACTGAAACTGGCCCTTACCCCGTGGGACATCCTTAAGATGGCAGGTTACGTCGCCCTCTTATGACTCCGCATATCTACCATACCGGTACTGCACCTTTGCTTGATCTTGTTGGCTCAGATTCATAGAGCTGCCAACTGCTTCCATTGGCCTCGTCTGTTTTAAGGCATTCTGCTACCAGGTACACAGCCCACGCAGCAGATCCCGCCTCTGTGGTGGGCTTTCCGCTTTCTTTGTTTCCATTACGATAACTTCTACTGCTATGATACAGTCTGCTTTCTTTGTTTGCATCCCCAGGCCACAAGAGAGCAACAGAGCGAATTTGGGCCAAAAGTCAGGAGACGACGCAGCCCTCTCAAAGTTTTCTTGAAATCGTTGATGTTAAGTTAATTCTAGGCTTGTTTGTGAGTTTGTTCTACAGAACCTGCTCAAAGTTTATTCCAATCGTTCTAAGTTACGTACAGTTTATTCTAAATTCTTTTTATGAGTCTGTGCAATGGAGCCTTCTGCCAAGCTGCTCCCCCCTAACAAGCTACTCCCCCTAGCATTCAACCTCTGTTGGGCCCATCGGACAATACCAAGTCATCAGGTCATTGAGGCTTACTTCCTTCTTGGGAGGTTCCATTCCAGGGAGTTGCATGTGTTGTGTGATGGTCTCATCTTGTTCTTCATCCTCCAACAAAGCAGATGCTCGAAGCTTTCCCCAGGATTGACGAAGTGATTTCTTGGAGTGGCAGATGTTGTACCGGCACAAGTACTTATCATTGTCTCCGTAGAACTTGAACTCAGTCTGTGTCTGCTTGAGGGCCTTGGCCAGGGTGCAGAACAGAGACTTCAATGTTTCAATTACCTCTGCATCATTCATAGCTTCATGATGACAAGAGTTCAGTTCTCCAGTGACCTTCACAACTGGATCCTCGGAAAACTTGTTTTCAACGCTGTCAATGATACCAACACAGGGCTTCTTTTGTGTCATGCGTGCCATTGCCCACTTCTTCCAGACTGCACTGATGGCACTTGGGCTGTAGACTTTGCTGAGATCATCCCCCACTTGGGGCTTGAGGCAGATGTATCCACTGAAGTGGCGAACAGAGGCATTGGTGATGGAGTCTTTGAAGGACATTTTGGTTGTTGTGTGCTGTTGTTGTTGTAGTGTTAGGCTGCTGCACTGTGAGCTCTTGTTTTGTTTTTGCTTTTGCTGATGTTTGATTTTATGCTTACTGTCGCTCCTGCTCTGCTCGTCTCAGCGATGTGCGACACGCCGGTGCTCCGCTCTGTGAGTAAAATTTGGACCGGACTGAGGCTGAATGGTGAGAATGCGGCGGTGGGGAGCCTTGCACAAGAAAAGGGTCGAGTCAGACACTCAGTCGGAGGCGAGTCACAGATGAAATCGATTGCGCGATTTCGCGAAAGCTTCGCACATCCTTGCACCTTGCACTACATGTACTACAACATGTAGACTAGCTAGCTAGATCACTTTTTTTGCTAGAAACCTCGCCTAGGTACTAGTAGTCTTAACCTTAACGCACTAGCTGCAAATCTGAAATCTTGGCGACGCCATGCTACTCGTATGTCCACAACCCACAACGCCGAAAACAGAGGTGCATGAGAGAAGGAATGAGTTAGTTGGAGTAGAGAGACATTATCGCAAGTGGTACAAAGCTGCCAGACATCTAATAGATCTACCGGTGCTTGTGGACCGGGCCAGCATCTTTGCAATTGCTGGATAAGATTCTACCCCATCTTCACCCCCCACATCGCCTTTCGATAGGTGTTCGCATCGAGTCGAGTCATTTCTTCTTCGCAGTCAGCCCCATCATGCCTCGCCGGGGACGATCTCGACCTGGCTCCTACCTTCCATCTCAACAGTTTAATGCGGTAGATGAACATACGGATGGATGTGCACGGTTTTGTCAGTTCCTACTGTTTTGCGCCATCTCGGCAGCAGTTGCCATGGGAGTACTAGCGGTCTTTAGCTGCGAGTTTCTGATATACCTCAAGCCACTGGATCAACAGGTGGATTCGTCTTCTACTGCCACTACCTACACTGGGAATACCGGTAGAAATGGAACTTTGGCGTGGGTTCTACAAGTGAACAACAGAACAAACGCTACCGGTGGTACTCCAAATTCGCCCACGGGAAGTCTCGAAGCGGATCAGGCTGGTCTAGGCATATGGCGATACAAATACCACATCGAAGACGAGATTTGCTACTGGTACGATGAAGACGATCCACGCGATAAATCACTGGAACTACGTGTGGCGCAATGGGGATCCAGTTTGTCTCTTGGATTTTCTGGTCTGGCCATGTTTTTCCTCATGGTGGAATTCTGCTGTTGTCGGTTTCCATGTTCGCGGGTGATTGCCCACCTGTGCTTTGCCTTGGCAGCAGCATCTCTGCCAGGCTGCTTCCTTGCCTTTTCTCACAACGAATGCAAACTCTTTAGCAACAATGCATATGCTTGTGATATTGGAACGGGGGCCATCTATATGGTTATCATGTTCTTCTTGCTGCTTCTCTGTTTGTGTTTGTCTTGCATGACACCCAAGTCAACTCCACTCTGTAAAGTTGTGCAACAAAGAGAGCAAGAAAGTGAACAGGATCCATGTATATGTGGTTGTTGTAAAGGCTGTTCCAAACGTACCAAGGAAGATATTTATGAAGACAATCCAGAGCTCTTGTTGGCAGAGTTGCCTTCGGAAACCGTGGAAGTGCCGGCTGGAGACCGTGCTGGGACGCACACGTACAAGCACTACTATGACGATCAACTCGGTGGTATCACCTTGCAGAGTCAGTATGCCGCTGCTACTCAACGATGGCTGACTTGCGAACGCGATTATCAAACCATGTTGGATCGATTCAAAAATGAATGTACCGAGCTGCAACAAGATAGTGCACTCTTTACACAACGAAAGCAAAAACTGGATGACAGTGGAATCGCAAAAAAGCTGGATGACTACTACGATGATGAGGAGGACATGGACAAATTCCGGGCGTCCGAAATGCAACAAAACGCTGATTGGAGGTACATATTGACACTCCCGCCCAACGAAATTGTCGACCCAGAATTGGCTCGATTGGCGCTGGTCCTTAGTTCCATGAGAGAAAACAGTCGGCAAGCCAAGAGTATCATGGAACGAATTGAGCAGGACTTGGAAGAACACATCAAATCACCAGAAGAAAAGGTCAATGCGGCGTTGATGGAAATTGAAATGAAGAAGAGTCAACGGGCACATGAAAAGGCCAAAAAGTCAAACAATGTGGAGGCACAGCAGGACGGAGATGGCTCTCATGATGTCGCCAGCGTAACAGAAAAGCATGCCAACACGACAACACCATTGGAAGATGACAGCCACCTGAATGGCGGAAATGACGTTCGTGGTAGCAGAAGCAACCACGTATCCGAGCCACTGTTGCTCACGACTGCCGTCATGTCCGACGACGAAATGATGGATCAGATTGAGGCACGTGTAAAGTTACCAACCTCGGGACCATCTTCGGATGTTTTCGTCAGCACTATCACGCCGCGATCCCCATCCGAGGAAATCGTGTTTGAAGAACCAGAGTTAGCGTTTATGGACGCGGAACAGATGGTCGACCAGAAGCCTCATAGCTGGATTCCATTCGGATGGGGTGACTCGCGAGACGAGGCTGACAAGAAGTACTCATGAGTGAGAAGTGGGCGAATGAAAGGCTTGGCTCTCTCGTTGTCTGGCTTTGTTGGAAAATCCATTGGGGCCAAGACTGCCTCTGATTGATAGTTTCTTTTTCATTTTCTCTGGAAACTAAAAAGCCAATACATGTCTTGGAAGAACGAGGGTACCTGGTACCTGGTGAAACTAAGAGTGGATCTGTGACGACAAATCCACTACATTTGGATCCAGACGGCTCCCACTGGATCAATCAGATGAAGTTGGTCAACAATTGAAAGATCCAGCGCCGTGAATATCTTACCGCAGCATCATGAAGAAACGCAATTAACAAGAACGGGACACCAAGGGTCCCAGTATTGGTTTCATCTCATTATAAAATTGCGTATTTGTGTTCAGCGAGTCACGTAAAATGAATAACTACTCGATTGCACATACATGTAGACTACTACTGGTACCTGACCTGGGTAGGTTGGGTAGATATTTACATTGCAGTCCCTGAAACTTGAACTCAAAAGGACCAGACTGCGTCTGCAAAAAGCAGAAAGAACTCAAGAGCACTGCCATCTTCTGGGTCCCGTCCTCTGGCTGACATGGACAACAAAGGGCGTCTCTACTACACTACTCACAATCACGGTGTTGCCCAAAGGCCTTTGCTAGTTTGCCTTGATGCAGAGAGCTGTACCGCCGAGCTTCCACCGTACCGGTACATGTACCGGTATCTTCTTTGGATCTTTCATTCGTGCATAGTGGATGACGGACAGACCTGCGCAGGTCAAGAACATTCTTCGAACAGGACGTGGAGCTCCAAATTCGAAGTTACGTAGGCTGTAGTACAAATTCTACACAAAGATACTTGAGAACTTGGCTGGAGTCAGCTGATTGTGATCTTCGCGGAACCACCACAATGTCATCAACTCCATGACAAGCCTCTGGAAAGAATAGGACTGAAGGCGTCAAAGAAGAGGAGGCATACCTGGTATATTCACACCTCTGTCATCATAATTGAACAGGAAGATGGAGATGATGTTGAGTGGTAGCAGTAGTGGTGCCATGGCCACGGAAGAATTGGTCGATCAAAAACCAGCTGCAGCATTGATTGCAGTTCCTTCCTCCATGGTGAACATGTTCCTTCAGCTTCCTCGAGAGATATTGTGCCACATTTATACCTTCATGGACGTGCCCATGTTGGGTAGCATGGCTCAGACTCACACTGGGATCCTGCGAGAATTGGCCACTGCGGATGAAACTTGGAGTGATTTGGTCCACCGACGCTTCCAGATTGCCACCACCAAGAGACCCAAGGCATTTGGAGGCAAAGATTGGAAAGATGCATATTGTAGCATGAACCTTTGCAACCGAATGCCCAAGTCACGCTGGACCAATCGCAAAGCCATTTTTGCCAAGGGCAATGGTAGAATGATCCATGCTACCGGAAGCGGTACTACTACAGGTACTACATCCAGTCTATCTCTTTGGGTCACCTTGAATCATACTGAAAATTGCCGCACCCGCATCTTACGGACCAACGCAAGCAGCAGCAATCGACAACGTCATGTCGATCTATGGGTCTGTCTCCAAAATGTGCAATCCAATGGACCTCCCATTCAAGTTCATATCATGCAATCGGAGCTGCATTTTTTGGGTGGGTTGGGGAATGTCTATACAGAACGTTGCATTCAAGAACAACTCTCCTGTGGCTATCGCTGGCTGGTGCCACGCCTGTTGCATCACCGACACCATCATCACAGTCCTGCTCTTGATCGTAATGTTAAAGGAGTGGCAAGAGCTCCGACCACTGCAAGAGTGTTTGACCTTAGCAACGATCTGTCCTCCAACGGTAAAGGTGTCATTGTTTTGCAACCATTGGAGTTTTGTATTGTTTCGCTTCCTTTTGCCTGTGGACAAGATGCCTTTGAGACGGATGCGTTGGCACGCACAGTGTCTCTCCGTGTTCCCTTTGACTCACGGCCACAGATTGGTTCGACGCCATTATCCTCGGAGCCTGGAGAAGCCCAAGCTTGGTTCGTCCCTGAAAGTGATGTGTGGGACCAATATTGCCAACTTCCAGGAGGGTGTCTCACTCTCTCGGACAAGGAACGGAGAATGCATCTCTAGCTAGCTAGACTAGTTGCCACTAGCTAGAGATACAGATTATGTGAAAAGTGTTCATACGGTAGCCATTTTACTTGTCAAAAGTGGAAGTACAGTACTGAGTGTGTTCTTCGTGACAACTGGACTAACTGTCCATCACAAAGCGAGAGAATGATGGCAGTTGGTAGTCTACCAGTATCGTAGGAAGGGAAACAAAACCAGCAGGGTACGATGGAGTAGTTGAGTGCAACGTGGGAACTAGACTACCGGTACTTGCTAAACGATCGTGAGGCTCCAGCAAGGAGACAATATCGCAGCTATCTAGACGGTTTGGACCACCTTGGCATCAAATAATATGGTTGCTAGCTAGCTGTCCCGGTACTGGTAGGAGTAGATGCTACAGCGTGATGGAATGAAGCAATAACAACCAAGTGGCTGGTACCAGTACCTGGTACCGGAGCTGAGACGACCATGGAGGTGCGGCTCCACAACTTTTTGAAATACGATGTACTACGAGGCAAACGTACAGTGTTTATTCCATGATACATGTACCAGGTACCTAGCCAGATGATAGATGCCCGTACGAACTAACTAACTAAAGAAGCGTGTAAAGTAGATCTAGTTGCTACAGATTTGTTCCTGTTTCAATTGCCTTGCCACACATACATGCATACGTAAATATTGCCTAACTGTTCAAATTTCATTTTCATTTCCATCCATATCATCCCTCCAATACAGCATTGAGTTCCTCCAACTCTTCCATCATGGTTTGCAGCTTTCGCATGAGCAAAAAGCAGAGAACCGCCAGTATGACAATGATTCCATGTAATACGGGATCCACCATCCAAGACAACATTCCATCTTCTTGTCGGAATTCCAATTGTTGTTGTTGTTGTTGTTGCTGCAATTGCACCATGGGAGGATCCTGCATTTGTTCAACAGGCTGTTGTTGTTGTGGAGCCGCCGCAGTGGGAGTAACAACCGCCGGGGCCTGTTCCGTGGGTGGTTCCGTTTCGTCGTTCGTGTTGGTTGTCGTGGTAGTCGCTTCCACGGATGTTTCCACCGAGGGCTTTGGTTCCTCTTTAGGGACCTCTTCTTTTGCTTTCGGGTCCTTTTCCTCGCCATCTTTTCCTTTATTGTTGTTGTCGTTTATATCTTTATCTTCTCCGTGTTCCATTGCCTGAAATTGTTGTAATTTTTCAATTTCCTTTTGAAATTTGGATTTTGGTTTGTCATTTTTACTACTGTCAGAAGTATCCGTTTTGGGTTTGAGTTTGGGAAGTAGCTCAATCGCCTTGCAACCACATGTGGGACAGTGGTAGTGGACACTCTTGACGGCCAATCGTTTTCGTTCATCCCCAGTCCAATCCAACGCTCCAATGGCACCATCGGCCGGTGTCGGTAGAAAACTAATCAGCGCCTCGAGAATCAAACGAATGCCCCAGCTAAATATTCATATATAAATATAAAATACCATGCAAGCAAGCAAGCATGGACAAGATCAGGATCCAAATCAAAAACAACAAAGACCCATCACTGTCTAAAAAAAAGATCGACTGATGGATAGATGAATGGAAGACTTACGCTGGCTGCCATAGTTCGGGATGGTACGCCGAGAATGACAAGCAGACCTTGGTGTTGGTTTCAAATCGACCCGAAGGAGTCAAGAAAATAATATGAGGAGGCTTGAATGGATACTCGGGTGGAAGCTGTACACATAACACAGTAAAAAAGAAATGGAAAGTAAAAACAAAAAGTAAGTGAATGTCAGACACTCAAGTCACACAAGCGATGAGATGAAACACAAAAGACACAACTATCTCACCATGATGCGTCCATGATAGACACCTCCTTCAAAATCGGTTCCATCGGCTCCACGAATCGTAAAGTGCCTATACACACACAAAAACAACCAAAATGGCACTCGTGAGACGACCCGCTGTAAAAAGACAAACACAGCCATCTCTTGTCTTGTCATGAAGTCTGCACCGACCATTCGAACATGTCATGCTCCAAGGGCGCCGCGTGGTACCGATCGGAAGGATCCAATGCCAGTTCACGAATGTCTGCTTGGATGCGTCGAAGAGATGGAGACTTGCTCATGGTCGAATATTGGAGTACTGTTGATGAGGGAAGCTACGAAAGAGTTGAGTTGGTTGCTACTAGCTCGCTGTGTTGTAGTTGTGATGTGATGTTTGCCAGGTTTTTGGGACGTTGGAACCGCGATGAAGGAATCGAAGGAGGAGGAGCGCCGGCATGGTCATTCCTGCATCCACCAAGATTTACAAGAATCATGATTCAAATAAGCCAATCAAAGACTGCCACGTACGGTACGTAAGCGGTTCCACTCATTTTTGTTGGCATCACTTCCTTGCAAGATCTCATCAGGCCATCCATCCATCAATGCAAACGCGACGACCTCTTGACATCCATGAAAGCAATAGAATTGAAGCCATAGGGATTGATTGATCGATTGATTGATTAATTAGTTATTGCAAACTCTAGACTACTCTACTGAAGGTAACATAGACAATGTGGAGGTTTTCACCTCGACTGATCAGGTCCTCGAGATGGACTTCCACCTTTGCTCGGCCAGAATCTTCCACAACTCGAGCTTTGCCGTCGCTATCAGTCCTCCTCTCGTCTCACAAGAGCCATCATCAGCAGGATGAGAGTCACAAGTTATTGGTGTCATTCCTAGGAATGGCCATGGCATCTTGTGGAATTATTCTTGGTTGGAATACACGACAACCTTGCCTGGAAGAAGCAGCCGACGACGACACCACCACCAAAATTCTCAATTGGAGTGGCACGCACAGTGTGCTTGTCCCCAACGACTCGTATTGGGAACCCGAATCGATTGCCGAGGTGGAAGCCATTGTCCAAAAATGCCACGCCCAAGGACGGTCCGTACGACCTGTGGGATCGGCACTCTCTCCCAATGGCCTGGCGTTTGAGGCACAGGGTATGATGAGCATGGCCCATTTGGATTCGGTAGTAAAAGTGGACACGGTCAACCGCACCGTCACGGCTCAAGCCGGGGCTCGTGTCAGTCAAGTCATTGAAGCACTGCGGCCGCATAATCTCACATTGCCCAATTTGGCATCCATTGCCGAACAACAAATGGGTGGCTTTGTGCAAGTCGGGGCGCATGGAACCGGAAAAGCCATTGCCCCCGTCGATCATTACGTGACCAAGCTCAAAATCGTGACACCCAGTCAAGGCATGATCGAATTGACCTCGCAGGATGAAGATGACGAATTGTTTCATTTGACCAAAGTCGGATTGGGATGTCTGGGAATTGTGGTGGAAGTCACGATGCAGTGCATCCCGGCCCATGATTTGGTGGAACATACATTTGTATTGACACGACAACAAGCCCGAGAACAACGCGATGAATTGCTAGAAAAACACAAACATATGCGCTACATGTGGATTCCCTTTGAGGATGCCGTCGTCGTGGTCACCAATGATCCCGAAGAAACACTACCACAGAGTGTTCCACGACAAACGTCGGCACCACTCTCCACGAAACAATTATTTCAACCCTTGACCGACTTGCTTTTGACACTGTCCCAAGAATATGCTGACAACTCTACTACTACTACGACAACATACACGAAAGAAACCATAGAGGGCATGGGATTTGGGGAATTGAGAGACGCACTCTTGGCATTTGACCCCTTGAATGTCGACCATGTCAAACGCGTCAACAAGGCAGAAGCCGAGTTTTGGAGAAACAGTGAAGGATATCAGACAAAACCAAGTGATCAACTGCTGCAATTTGATTGTGGAGGGCAGGTACGATACCACGGGCGAATGTGTGTTTATTTAATGATTGAGGACTCACTCATACACAATTTTATAACTGGGGTTCATGACAGCAATGGGTCTGGGAAGTCTGTTTTCCCACGGGATCACAAGAACGCAACAATGGCAATGACATGGATTTCATGGAGGAACTATTGGCAGGAATTGAACGCGACAACATTCCCGCACCGGCTCCCATTGAACAACGATGGTCGGCCAGCTCCAGCTCGTACATGTCTCCCGCGTACAGTCGAGATCCACAAGGGCTACATTCCTGGGTAGGAATCATTCATTATTTGCCATCGGATGAGGAATGGCAACGACGGGCCATTACCGAGTCTTTTACGGGCAAATACTGTGACTTGATGCGCAAAATTGGACAGCAGTACAGTGCTACCAGTCATTGGGCCAAACTGGAGATTCCCAAATCCATTTTCCAAGTGGCGGACTTGCGATTGTTTATGCAATCTCGCTTTCCCGTGGCATTGTTCAATGAAACGCGGGCTCGCATGGACCCCAAATCGATACTCTCCAATCGGACTGTAGACATGGCCTTTGGGAAACCAGGCCACAGGCAATAGCCCATACTCGTACATGCAGCTGGCTGTCGAATGATGGTGAATAGACGTGATGTTCACGTGCCACCATCACAGCTACTCCAAGTGCTGCAGGTACGTAGCTATCGGTACTTCCGTTCGTTGTACGTACTGTAGCGCGAGAGGTATCACCTATCTATCTAACATCAAAGCAGCTACTAGTACTACTACACACCAGGGTACCGCGTTGGTACAATTACCTGGTAATAAAGAACTGGCAAAATCGTAAAATCGTTGGGAGCTTTGGCACTTTTATTATTATTTTTACAAATTGTTTTTACAAGAGTATGGTTTAGCCATGGTTTACGGGTTACGGTAGGTCTTTGCACATTGATGAGCCAGTGACCAGCAACATCTTGTGACAACGCAGAAATGTTACGTAGAAAGGACACTTTTTCATGTACGCGGATACACGGGGTTCAGATCACTCTAAACTTGAATATTAGAATCTACTTGAATCTCAGAATCTCCAATGAGCAGCACTGATGTTAGCCTTGACACTTGAGAGAGCGCACAAAAAGTAGTCCAGAAGCCTCCAGATTTGGCTGGCTGCGAGAAAGCAAACTAGCCAGTAGCTAGACTAGCCTCTGAGAAAGACTACCCGGTACTACTAGAGTAGTGGAGTTGACATGCCAAATAGCAAGACATAGCATTATTAGAGTCTGACATCATGAAAATGCGTTCCAAAACAAGCAAGGGTAACCTCGCTCAAACTGGCTCTCCCCAACTCCCAACTGAGGGAGCAGGGGTTGACTTTATTTTTCCTGACTTTGATTACCAGCCATTAATAAACACACATTTACTTGTATTAAAAGAAACTCATCTATGTTGGGATCTGCTAGCTCGGCAAGAAAGAAACCAGATGTCTGTCACTACCACTAAACCTACCGATATGTCTCTATTCCCCATCCCTCTGGGCTCTGGGCTCTGGACAGCAGACTCCTTCGCGGCCTTCCCGCTCTAGTAGAGATATATTCCAGTCGCACATATTATAGTGTCTATGGCTATAGCTACCGATACATCCCACACCTGTACATCTGGTGACGCCGAGGTGAGTTTGCCTCGTAGACTAGCTAGTTCGAATGTAGCGGTGGCAGGGTATCGCTGGAGCTCCCGAGGAGATGTAAAACATTCTTATGAGAGAGGTTTGAGGCTTGTCCATATCTTGCCGCAAAGAACAGAAAGGTGTCAGGCCTTAGTTATTTCTTTTGACTACTAAAGCAGCATTAAATCACTTTGTCGCCACATTCTTTTAGCTCGTAGTCAATATGGTGACTACAAGTGGCCAAGACTTAAATAAATTGATCAATTGTGACTCTGGTCCCATTTCAGGTGTCTGCATGAAAGGCGATTATTAAGTAAATGACGGGTGGGAGAACAAGAAGCGTCGCTTGAAGACAAAAAAGAAGTTTTCATCGGAGAAAGGCTGCTTCGCTCGCTGGGAGCGCAAGTACCAGTGGTACCTGGTAGTAAGCATGGAAGCCGAGAGTTGCCGCAGCACAGCACAGCACAGCACACCACCATTCCATCGGTCATAGTAACGCCGCCACAAGGCCCACGACAAGGAAGGAGACCGCCATCGCATACTCCGCGTAGCAACACATAAAAACACTAGCCAGAAACAGTGCAAGCAAGGATCAATAGCAGTACTAGTAGCATACATCATGGGTTTCAAGATCTTCTCCCGTCGTTCCTCTCCCCTTACGGATATGGATGGCTACACCAAGGAGGACTACCTTCAGCTGCAGCAGGAGAACCGCCGGTTGCGGCAAATCACAGCTCGCATCGCCACGAAAATAGGACTCCATGTGCCCAAGAATAGCAAACCCCGTACGGGAGAGGAGGAATACTGTCCTCCTCCTCACGTCATCATGGCGCAAGCGCACCGATTGAATAAATTGAATGAACTGGTCGTAGCGCTCAGTCAGGCACCGCGGGTGGCGGATGCCTACAAGATTGTCGCCGAGTACACCCGCGAAATTGTCGGTGCCGCTCGCGTCAGTATCTCGCTCTTGTCCAAGGATGAAACCGGCTGTGAGCAGTTGGAGATTTACGGACTCGATGGTACATCGGGGGCGATGCCTCTGGGTATGAAACTCCCCTTGGCAGGCACTCAAATTGGTCACGTCGTGCGGACCCGAGAACCCGTCCGCGTAATGGACTGTGCCCATTCGGAATTCTTGGATTGTCGCAATTTGAGTCAAATGGGAGTTCAGGCGTGTGTGGATGTACCCTTGATATCGTCGGGGCGGGTATTGGGAACGCTCAATACCGGAGTGACGGATCGTGCTGTCTACTACCCGGAAGTGGAACAAATGCTCTTGCAGATTTCCAGTGTCCTGGCATGCGCCATTGAAAAGGAACGATTGTTGGAGGAAGCCATGGAAGCCAGGAATAAAATCCTATTGGAGAAACAACCCGAGTGCAACGGCTGCCGCAACAAGAGAATGGCCGAAAAGTGCGGAAAAGCGCCGAGGTCGGTTACCAACTAAAGAGGAGAGGCTTTTTTCTCTTGCGAACCAAGCAACCACCCCTTGTACTTTTTACATATTATTGTATGGTAGGAACTTCATAAGAATATAATCCGGAGAGCAAACTCTCATTTTAACAATGGACTGTTTTTGACTCGTCAATCGTCTTTTTATCTGAATTCAACGAATCGATGATGCCCAAGGTAGCTACCGCTAGCTTGCTTGTGGTGGAGGATACCTACTGGTACTGTTGGCAATACCGGTACTGACTACAATCGCGTCCATGACTAAAAGGACGCGTGTTGGGAGCGAAGCTCTGGAGGTGAATACATACATGTAGCTTCAGTAGAACATTTCGTTGCCGGCGCGGTACTCTTTGACGAGCGTCAGTTGAAGTTGAAAAGGGTATCGGTAGGGGGTGAAAGAGACAATACAGTACGGGGCACCGGCACCCACTTGGCTACATGTACATGTCGTATCTGCCCAGGTCGATCACGCTCGAGTTTTTGTGTCAGCCAAAGTCATAGGTACCGTACAGATACCAGTACATGTACTACTAGCTAGTACCAGATGAAGTGCCCTCGGTTTGATCCCCACGAGGGAGAAATTGAATTGGGTTGGTTTACTCTTCTCTCCAGAACCAATGAGAAAAGATCACGAGAACCACAACCAGCATGAAGCATGAAGCAATTCAATCACCAAACCACTGGGACAGGATTGCTCCTTTTCTCTTCTTTGAATTGTCCCCAAGCCAAATTTCTTTTACAACGCCTTGCCAATGCCAATGCCAACAAAAAGCAGTACTCATATTCTCAAATGATGCATGCTCTGCATCCAGACCCGCATCTCCGTTGCGACCAGTGTTCTTACAACAAGGCCTACATGTCTCTGTGCATCTTGCAAAGCCCTTTGACCCCCATGTTGGTCCTCAATCTATCTCCCCTGATCCCACCGAACCTAACTGATTTTCAGTACGAATGCAAACCGCGAAAGCGTGGCCTATCAGCTAGCTAGTCCTGAATTCTGTCTCTTGTTTGTCTAAGCCTGGCCTGGCCCTCGCTGGCTTCCATAGGGTATAACCTCCCTACGAGTACTCTAAACCCCCCTTGTACCAGGTAATTGAATTGTGAGAAGTCCGGAAAATTGGAATTGTGAGAAATCAGAAAAGTTGGAATTGTGAGAAACCGGAAATAATTGTAATTGTGAGGAATAGGAAATAATTGGAATTGTGAGGAATCGGAAACAATTGGAATTGTGAGGAATCAGAAGAAATTGGAAATGTGAGAAATCAGAAAAGTTGAAATTGTGAGAAATCGGAAAAAGTTGGAATTGTGAGAACATATTTGGAAACAGTAATTGTGAGGAATCGGAAATTAAATGTAATTGTGAATCGGAAATAAATGTAATTGTGAGGAATCTGGAAATTGGAATCGTGAGAATTTTTAAAAGTTGTAATTGTGAGGAATCGGAAATAATTGTAATTGTGAGGAATCCGGAAAAATTGTAATTGTGAGGAATCGAAAATTGGAATTGTGAGAAATAGAAAATTTTTATTTGATTGTGAGAATCCGGAAAATGTAATTGTGAGAGTCAGAAAAAGTTGAATTGTGGGAACGGAAATAAGTATTGTGAGGAATCGGAAATTAAATGTAATTGTGAGGAATCAGAAAATTGGAATTGTGAGAAATCAGAAAAGTTGGAATTATGAGGAATCGGAAAAAGTTGGAATTGTGAGGAATCGGAAAAAGTTGTAATTATGAGGAATCGGAAATAATTGTAATTGTTAGGAATCCAGAAAATTGTAATTGTGAGGAATCCGGAAAATTGGAATTGTGAGAAATCAGAAAAGTTTTTATTGTGAGGAATCCGAAAATTGTAATTGTGAGAAGTCAGAAAAAGTTGAAATTGTGAGGAATCGGAAATAAATGGAATGTGAGGAATCAGAGAAAATTGGAATTGTGAGGAATCAGAAAAAGTTGTAATTGTGAGGAATCAGAAAAAAGTTGAAATTGTGAGGAATCGAAGTAAATGTAATTGTGAGGAATCGGAAAATTGGAATTGTGAGAAATCCGAAAAGTTTTTATTGTGAGGAATCGGAAATAATTGTAATTGTGAGAATCCGGAAAATTGTAATTGTGAGAAGTCAGAAAAAGTTGAAATTGTGATGAATCGGAATTAAATGTAATTGTGAGGAATCGGAAAAAAATGGAATTGTGAGGAATCAGAGAAAATTGGAATTGTGAGGAATCAGAAAAAGTTGTAATTGTGAGGAATCAGAAAAAGTTGAAATTGTGAGGAATCGGAAATAAATGGAATTGTGAGGAATCGGGGAAAAATGGAATTGTGAGGAATCAAAAAAATTGGAATTGTGAGGAATCGGAAAAATTGGAATTGTGAGAAATCAGAAAAGTTTTAATTGTGAGAAATCAGAAAAAGATGTAATTGTGAGGAATCGGGAAAAGTTGAAATTTTCAGAATTCAGAAACATTGGAGAAATCGGGAAAGTTGGAAATTGTGAAATTGACAGAGTTTCCTCTTGTCCCGAAAATTGATGGATGAATGGACCAATCAAAATGAAGCACTTCACTCGCAAAAAATTTCCCCAGATCACACCGTCACTAAAAATCAAAGAAGGCCCTCTTTCATTCGTGCTTCCCCGTTGGGCAAAGGAATGCTATCGATGTGGTGTCGACGGAGTCTCGAAATAAAGGATGGCTCAAAACTTTCAAGGAGGGAATGTTGTTGTGTCGGTTTCGTAATGCTGCACTGGATTAGCTCGTTGCTAGCCAGATAGCATTGCTGATTGCCTATCGTTACAGTCTCCTTTCGACCTTTGGTTTTGCACTTCATCTTCTTTGCAGCAACAGTTTCTGCTGCTTGTGCCATCAACCATGACATCATTTCCCAAACCGCCCACCCCACCTCGCCAAGGTCTCACGTCGCCTTCTAAAAGCCAGACGCCCAAAAGCGGCAGCCACATTCGCCTGACAAGCACAACGACAACGACAAGATCGCACTCGCAACAAAATTCCTTTGCATCTCTGGAAGAGCTCATGAAAAAGGATGATTTGGCGGAACGGGGATTGATGCATTCGATCGAAGAGCGAAGGACGACAGTTCCGACCGATGGTGGAGACGTCTGGAGGGCATCCGTAAATGGAGAACGCCCTCCACTCGGCGCGGTACCATTAGATCAATTTTCCAATGTTGTTTGTTTGGCCGACCAGAATTCGTTGGGTGGTAGTTGGAACAGTGGAGACCACAAACGGAGACTCTCGGGCAGTCTGGCAGGAGGAGGAAGCAGCCATGGCAGTAGTCAAAATTCCGCCGGAAAACTGGCTGACATTGCCCGAAAGATGCGACAAAAGGCAATTGTTGCTACTACCTTGGACGGTTCCGACACGGCCGGCAGTAGCCAAGCAACGTCATCTTCCAATCACCGAAGAGGACAGAGTCGAGCCGGTGCCATTCTGGACAGCATTCAAGAGCAACAAGAGCAACCTGATGCTGTTTTTGATAATGTGATGGGCTTGACTGGAACACCCAACTCTGACGAGACAAATGATACAAACAATCCTACGTTGGAAATAGAACAGGCAACCAACAGCACGGATCGATTACTGACTGGAGCCATGCATGTCGAAGAACTATTTGAAACCTTTCAACAGCAGCAAGATCAACAAGCACAAGCAGATACAGAACCAGAACCAGAAAAATTTGTGGTTGCAGAAGGAGCAAATGATCCAGTTGTGGAGGAACAGGAACAACTATTGGCGGATCCTGCAACAGTTCCCACCTATAGCAGTTTGACACAGAGTGCCTGTGCTGCTAACAGCGAAGTATCTGTATCCAACTCTCCGAGATTCAGACCTCATCATCAGAAACAGAGTCCCAAGCTGTTACGTGCAAAGTCTGCTGCCAAGAAAAGAAAAGCACGATGGCAGCGATTTGTTGGGACATGGTGCAATCCTCTCAAACTGTTCCAACGTCTATGGAATCTACTGTGGCATCAGTCCTATGTTTTGCACATTGTCGTGCCGTGTTTTGCGACGGCATGGTTCGCGTATTATGTACTCGACAATCCCAAGCCCAGCTTTCTCCCGGGCAATGCGTCGCTCTCGTGGTGGCTCAACTTTATGGGGCAACAAGTGCTCATTTTGGAGTGCTCCCGTATATTTCAATGGGTTTTGATTGACAAATTGGTTCTGGGAACGAGACTGGCAGTACAGTGCTTGGGGCCCCTGCTCACACTCGTTTTCATTCAAGCTCGTGGGTATCCTTTCTGCATGGCCACTTGGGGATTCCTCGATTTGATATTGTTAGAAGGAAGCAATAGCATCGAGCAGTGTTGGTTCTACTTTACAGGACTTTACTTGCAGGGAGATGGAAGTGGCGAGGTCATTTTGTCATCTGACCTCTACATCCGGCTGCTAGTAAGCATGATCTTGGCGGGCAGTGCCACGGCCATCAAACGGACTGCCGTTGCCATGTACTTCGGAAAGAGAACCTTCATGGCGTTCAAGCCGCGCCTCGAACGGTTATTGAAAGACGTGGTTCTGGTATCTGAACTGGCAGCGCTGGCGGAAGAAGCCGAAATTGCCGCCTCCGAGGAAGAAAAACTCCTACAGGATACACCAGTAGGCAAAGAAAAAAGCGTGAGCCAGGTAAAGTTTTTGGGTGACGTAACTTGGAGCAGAAGTCCACGGTCATCACGAAGAGCTCTCAAGAAGGGTGGAAATGCGGCGCAAAAAGGGCATGGAGGTTCGTCCAACCATCCACATCCTCCAAATACCAGTGGCGATAGCGACTCGGATGATGACGACGACAGTGAACTTACGACACAGAATGATATCCGACCCCCGACGGAACGTCCTGACTTGCAACACGATGCGAGTGGGAATCTCCGTATCAAGGATTTGTTGGACCATTGGGATGAGCCCGTGAACAGAATGGATAAGGTCCGTGCTTTCTTCTTTCAGCCGTCAAGCAAATCCGTATACTAACATCCTCTTCTGCAGTCTTTGAACGCATCCATCTCAGACATTCTGCGGTTTCGTCGAGCGCTTACGTTCATGGACGATGATCATCTCTTTGGCGAAACCTTTGGCCCAGCATCGACGCGCGATGAACTGATCACGTCAGCTCACGACGTTTACCACAGGCTGCTGAAACTGACACCGGGACGCAACAAATTATCGTGCGAGTTCTACGATATGCTGGCGCTAGATGATGATGGTGAGACTGTAAACGTCGGAAAGCGAAAGGCTCTGAGGAAACTCTTTCGACCAGACAGGAGCAACGAGCTTTCTCTGCTTGCATTTGTGCAGTGCTGTGATTCGCTGTACAAGAAACTGCGGTACTTTCGTGCCAATGTGGGAAACGCTTCTGTGATTGACCATGCTTTGGAAGCGATTGTAGATGGTGCTTTCAGTTTCGTCCTGATACTGCTTTTGTTGTCGGTCATGAGGATCAACCCTTGGCCGCTACTGGTTTCAATTTCGACGTTGCTCGTTTCCATTTCCTTTGCTGTTGGCAGCAGTGCTTCAAAGTGGTTTGAAGGTGCGTTTTCCTGCAGCTGCATATTTGGAAGAAACCCTGTAGCTAAGCGACATGATTTTGTGATCGTTCTTCTCAGGAATGCTGCTGGTGGCAGCACGTCGGCCTTACGATCTCGGTGACAGGATCTACATGAATGATCCCTCAATTATCATCACTGATGGTTTGTGGTACTGTTGGTTTGTGGAGGGTAAGGAGGAAGCCGAAGCATCTGTGGAACTGATTTGTGATTTGTGACTGCATTGTGATCTTACCCTTTTTTCAATACTCCTGAAGATATTAATCTTTTCCACACAACGGTACGATACGCGGGTACCAACGAAGTTGCAACAATCAACAATGGAAGCGTAGCCAACATGAGGATCGTTAACGGAGCTCGCAGTCCGAATGCCGCGGTTTGGTTCCAATTCGCATACAGAGCCAACCTCATGGAAGATGGCAATATCGATAAAGTCAAGGCCGCGCTTGAGGAGTATGCCAAGAACAACCCACGTAACTGGCACAGCTTCTCGTACTTTCGTGTCGATGAAGTTCACCCAGAGTTGGAGAAACTGGTAGTGACCATTGGATTGCAGCACAGGAGTGCGTGGCAAGATCTGGTGCGGATTCTTGAGGCTAAAGCAGGTGAGTGCACAGAAAATTGCGCGTCATGCCCATCATGATGCAGCATGCCGCTCACAGTCCGTCTTTCCTGCATCTCCCAGCCGTCATGTGCTGGCTGATGGAGTACAGGTGAGTTTTGAGTGCAGGATATGGTGTGAAGCGCCCATCGTGATGGCATCATGCCGCTCACAAGTTGTTTTCCCTGCACCTCCCAGTCGGAAGCTTGGCATCATCTATGACGAGCTTCCACGGCGCGAGCTACTCTACTATGCTGGGTCTTTGAAAGATGGAGCTGTCAAACAGCATCGATATCAGCTCCACGACCCTTCCAATATCACTCCTGGTAGTTTCCCCATCCCATCATCAACCCAGAGCGAGGGCAATCAAGAGATTGCACAGATGATGCAACATGTTCCTCGCGCGCCATCTGATGCCACCTTTTTGCAGCAGCTACAACACTCTCATGGATGATGCCGATGATGTAACCGTTGCAGAAGTGCTGGTGGACTAAGCGGCGATAAGATCTTGCCTTCTAGGCTGCAAAAAGGAGGAGGGGATGCTGCCTTCGGGGCTCACACGTGGTTCCGAGAGGGTCAAGATAAAGGGAGTGACAAATTTTAAAAGCCCATGCAAGGAGGCATGCTAGGAGGCAAGTTTCTCATGCAGGGCACAGTCGTACTGGATACTCTGATTCGAAAAGGACATCAGTTACGTGCCTTGACTGCGGGCCGTGGGAATGAATATGCCGCTTACATTCTTGCAATCATTCTGAAAAGCTGATTGGTAAAGGAAGCTCGTCGTTTGGCTGAGGGGGAACCCGCAGACTTCAAGGAGAACTTTCCGGCTAGAATTCAATACCACAGCTAGCTAGCTTTGTAGTAGAAACCATTATGTTCGCTCTTTGTATGTGATGGAATGTCGGCTGCTAGCTAGAGATGGTGGGGAAAGAGGACTTGCAAATTGCGAAGAATCGAATCGAATGATCAATCCTGCAGCGTCACAGGCTGGGTCTGTTTTTGCCCCTACTAGCTAGCTAGCCAGTACGGGTAGCTGTACAGCTCCGGAGAAGTCTTTTTTCTTCCCCTAGCCGGTACCCTTAAAATAGCTAGCTAGTCATTGCGCGTTTTCTTGACAAGCAGTCTTAATAAAAAACTGCCTGTACTGGTGTAATACCCTACCTGTTCGTGCCGACGTGCCGGTACCGGTTTGTCAGAGCGCGAAGGGACAAACGGTTCAATTGAACTCACGACCCGCCACGAAAACAGCTTTGGTTTGAAGGTAGATGCGGTAAATTAAATAAACTATTTAAATATTAATTTACCCGAAAGCCCTCATAAACGCTTTTCTCCAGACCAGCTCTGGTTCTGCACAGAGGTGCGGAAGTAAGATTGGCATGGCTGAGTGCCTCCAGTCATTCACTCATCAGAAAAGTAACCGATGACCTCCACTTTTAACTTTTTAAGCCTGATTTCTCCTCATCGATAAGTCATGGTTTCCTGAGATAGTCATAGGGCGCAACTGAACTGACGTGATTTTTGGAAGGGCGGTATTTTCGATCATTTTTTGATGACAAACGTGGCCTTTCGCTCCAGAGCTTTACCTGGTACCAACTTCCGAGCCAGTTGCTGCCAGTTTGCTTTACCGCCCGAAAAGTAAGTCGGCGTAAGCAAATGAACTGGGAGCAATACAGCAGTCATCCCAAGTCGTAGAGTGGAGCTGCCGTGGACACCGATTACAAGAAATTATTGGTTGGGTGTGCTTTGTAGTGACTTCTTGGAGGGCTTTTGGAGGCTGAACTTGAACAGGCAACCATCGGGACCCATTTTCCTTGTCCCTTGCTCCTTGAATCGAATCCTTGAATAATAGAATAATGGACCCTCCTTCGAGCTATGAAAAAAAGCCGCAATGGCACCCTCCTTCGAGCATTGAAACAAAACCGCCGCCGAAGGAAACAAAGCCGCAATGGCGGATTCTTCCTTTGCTGGCTGCGTTTTTGCTCACAGCTCCACTGGCGCAGTACATGTCTATTACTAGGCTCACTCAGGAGACAATATCCCCTCCCTCATCAAACTCCCCTCCAAACCTCCTAAACCTCGCACTGGTCGAGAAGCAGCAAAGACAGATTCAAATGGCAAGGGATCTGCTCCTGGTTACCCCCCTTGGTAATTCCACCGCCGACAATAAGGGCGTTCATGCTTTGAAGTGCTCCATGACTTCCAAGGGACACAACCCAGAACACCTCGTCCAATCTAAATTTGATGACTCTCAAGGCTATGTAGGGTAAGAAAGTCCAAATAGTCTCCGTCTGCTAATGCCAATGCCATCATCTCTGTTGCTAATCACTTCCTGTTGGATTGCTTTCTTCTTTGCAGGTTGGACATCAAGAAGATAACTGCCATATCCAAGACTTTACAGGAGCTGTCATTGAAGAAGCCAGCAACAACCCTCATCCTGGTAGTGGATGCGTTTGATGTGGTGATTCAAGGGACACCAGAAGAGATTATCCATGCATATGACTCACAGCCCTATCCAATCCTGTTTGGTTCGGAAACAGCATGCTGGAACGCAGCAACTAGTAAGATTCAATGAACAATAATGGGCAAGGGCGAACTCATCCTACCGTACCGTACGAGTCAATCTCACCAGAAATTTATTTGCTTGCTTTTGCTTTTTTGTGCTACGAACCTAGAAACATCCAAAAACAATGCGTCTACTCCTCTGTGCACGCATCCTATTCTTCAAAGGAGCATTGTGAATGGTCGCTACCTGAACTCGGGTATATTCATGTCGACTCTTGGAACTCTGGTCCGCTTTTTTGGTGATGTATTGGAGGAACTTCCATCAGAAAGAGAGGGTCTGGAACCACAGCAAGGGCAACCAGGGCAGTTCTATGACCAGGCATACTGGGGGTACTGGTACACAAAGTACCATCCACTCATTGGCCTGGAAGTCAGGGACGAACTCATTGTGAACATGGATAGAAGACTCCGAAAAGGGCTGGCTTTTGACAAAAAAACTGGATTGCTGTTTGTGGGAAACCAAGCCCCACCGATTATGCATTTTCCAGGGTCCCATCCAAAGCTATTCAATCCATACGTTGACGCCAAGCAGTACTACAATGAGCTGTGCTAGTGCCGGTACGATACATACCTTGAAATAGAAAATATCATGTACATTACGCTTTGGTAAAGCTTTGTAGTTAGAGGGCTCTAAAATTTTGGCGCTAGTGACACTACTAGGCTAGCTGGGAAGTGATGGTGTTTGTTTTGGTGCTTCGTGCAGGGAAGCACAACAAAATTCAACAATGGGCAACGTCAAGCCGGTTTGGTCACCTACCAATGCAGCATCCGTGTGATGGTGGCAAATCCTGCTGGCACTGCTCTCACATTCCCACGCCCCAAAGCTTTTTTTCTGGTATGCTCCTGAACCTCTCGATCGTTCTCTTAGAGTTGCTTCTGCGTGTGACACTCCCACACTATCCGCTCCGAGCCACAACACCTACGCTGATGCCCGTCAAGCCCAGAGAGACCATACCCCTCAAGACTACAAACCCGTCGCAGCTCTTCAATCGATGCCGAAGCAAGGGACATCCACCAAGAAAGCGGCCTGGCTGACGGCTGACTTGGAGCATGCTGCAGGCGTTGCAGAAGCTGCAGGTTTAACGTGGGAAGATTCCTATTTTGACCAAGACGAGGATCTTGCATGTCGCTGTGTTTGACCATGACAACGATATGATGCTTCGTTTCTACGTGCAACGATACCTGATGGTCGACATGGTGTACGCTGTGATCCTCTTTATAATCAATCTCTTGTTTATGCTCTCAACCTGTGAAACCCAAACCTCGGACGATGATGACTATTGGGATCAGTTTAACAAGGATGCAGAACGCGACGGCCGATGAGACACAGAAAGACTTGAATTTTATCGGGCTCGGCTTATGGGTGGCTTCATATCTTCTCGTGGTGCTACTCTTTCACGGTCACTACCGGCTTGCAGCTGCGTATACTCGTTCCCTGGATGTGGCGGTTCTCCGTGATGGTGTAGGGTCATTCAGGAACCTCACCTGAGTGGTCGAGCTTTGTGGGCCGCTCTGCACTGATTTGATGATTGTCTTCAGGCAGCAATGATATCTGAGACGGTACGTGTTGTCATGCGAGCCTGCTACTCTAAGCATGCAATGGTATAATCCATTCACCTCCCCCCCCCCCATGCCTCACGTATGCCCTCCACGAAAAGATTCCCTTAGACCAAATTACTGTGGTGGATGCGCGGGAGGATCCCGTCGAATGTTGCTGTTGCTGTTTCTGCAAGAGGTGCCCTTGGAAATCAGTCCTACTTGAGACTGGATCTTCCGACTCCTGGTCTTATGCAAGTGTGATGAGTGGACTGAAGGAGCCAAGTCGCCTTGAGCAACTAATTTGGGGCATGAAGAGGGCGAAAGGAGAGCAGATTCATCGTGATACGCATGTTATGAGCTCCGCTCAACATGCTATCCACGCAGCTTCTCCGTTGAACAGTCCACCCACCAACTATCCGGTCGCTCCACCCACCTAAAATACTGCTCCGGTCTATCCTCTTGCTACTAGCGCTGATGTGCCCGAACCTCAAACGGCAGAAGAGGGCTCCATCATTCTCCACTGCTGAGTTGGATCACCCCACACAATACAGTTACCGATGCATGTCACACCGCCTTACAGGCTCTGAGAGGTCTTTGCATTCTGTGATAGCATGCCTTGCATTTGGTCCATAGTAAAACAAAGCTATATGTAACAACGGTTCCAATGACCTTATTGCCTGATTGGATTGAAGGTTTGGTTGACAGTGGCTAACCGCCGGCGACAACTGCGGATGTTTGTCCCATATTCTGCTGATATCTAGCATCTACTGAACGACAAGTTGGGTCTTTGGCCCCTGGGCAAGCACTGTGACCACAATCACACTACGTTACGAGCTTTCTCTTTGGGGGTGGTTCAAATGGTGGATACCTTCTGTGGTACTGTAGTAATGCCACTTTCCATCGTGCTGCTGTGTTGCCAGAACTGCATCTTCCCCCATGTCTTCTGAGCATCGAGTCTGGGCCTCTGCGGTTTCCTATTTCCAGCCAGATTTGTTGCCCCCCGACCCTCACTGTACTGCTTTCTGTAAAGAAACTTGGCAAAAAGACTGGCAATATGATGGTCATGCAGGAAATGCATATCAAGATTGCCCCAGCCAGAAACTTTGCAGATGGGTGACTGGCAGATGCAAAGTATGTGGGAATTCCCAGAAGCAAAGTTTCCAAAAAAGTCAACATACTCACAGCCAGATAGGTTGACTCCTGCAACTCTGTAGCAAAGTTTCTAGCCTTGTAGCTTTGATACACAGCCATGATAACCCCAGCAGCATTGGCCACCAAGAGAGGGATCATGAAGGCAAGTTGCACTGTTTTGTTGGTGCTCTGACACCTTCCGTAGGATTCCAAACTTCTCCCAAAAGAATCCACATCTATGGTTTGTACCCTTTCGTACTGCAGGGGAGACACAGCGGTCCACCCAATCAGCAGAACAACATTGACAGTAGTCAAGACCGCAAAAGGCCAAGCAACATCTTGTGCATACACCTGAGTCCTTCGGAATCCTTGGCTGGATGACATCAGTTTGTTTAACCTCCACGTGCGACTGAGGATAGCTGAGAAGCAGGCCACAAAGCCAAGGGCAAGCAACCAAACAATGGAATTGCATGCAATGTCTAGTTGCCTTGAATACTCTTTCCCTTGCATTCCCATTGGTATGATTGCTGCAGATGTGATGAACGTTCCAATGCAGATCTGTACCAGGAACAGAGGTTGGCTTATTCTCCAAACATGATCATTCTTATTCCAAAGCACGCATCCTGCTAGAAGCAAACTCAACATCATCATTGCCCCACCAAAGGACCAGCCCAAGACTTGGACACTCGAAGGGATCAGGTTGTAATTATGATCGACTGGCACAAGGTAAGGGGGGCGTATTGTCGTGTGGTTGTTGTACAAATAGTCCTCCAAATGCACAACTTGCTCTTCTATCAGGATTGCAGAAATCCTTGATTCTAGACGGATGAGCGTTTCATTGGAATTGTCCTGGCTCAAGTAGACATTTTCAAGGGTATATTGGGTGTCGCGAGAGCTTCTTGTACCAGTTTGGTTGTTGAAAGATACATTTCCACTAATGCCTTGAAATTCAAGATTGACCAGGGTATTGAACAATTCTGCGCTTGTAAACAAGCCGGGTGTTCGACACGCTGCGATCCCCAAAGCTAAGACCGAATCGTAGGATGGGTAAATGTAGGGAAAATCAGTTGCTTGCACAAAGGAGGCGTTTTCCCAATAGAGGTCGTCATCAGGAAATGTTTCAAAGTACTCCCTCTGTAAATTGGCGTCTTGCGCAAACTCCAGCATTGCAGCCTGCAGGCTGTCCTTCTCAGGAAAGGGCACGTGGATGACACCTACCCCATCGAGAGCTTTGGCAAGCTTTACATCCCGGGGATCATGCCGCCTCAACTGCCTTGGTTCCCACACCAGATCAAAAGAAATCCAGACATGTTCGGGAGTCCCAATAATGCCAATATCGTAGGCTGCTTCGAATACAGTTGGCCAGTCCAAAACCAGACTTACGACATACTTGATCCCGCTTTGTTTGAGTTGTTGCAAACTTGCAGAAATGTGGTCTCCACTGTCCTCGGAAGCCCCTTCGACATAGCTGAACATGCTCAAGTGAATTCCTTCTCTATTGGCGTGCCGGTGTAAATTGGCGGCGAAATCAGTGCCGTATTCATCTCGAACGTAAATGGCTGTCAAGTGCGAAAGACCCTTGCTTTTGCAGAACTTGATAATGGCCGACGCATCCTCTTTGTTGCTGACTACGGTCCTTGCAAAGTATTGGGCCAAGTCGAGTCTCGAACTGGTAGATGTGGCACTGATTTGCGGGATTTGGTAGACTTCTCCAATCACAGAAAGGGGATAGGAGATTCGCGAGATGGTAGATCCCAACATGGCAAATGGAAACTGCCAGTCATCATCAAGTGTGTTGTTGTAGCTGTCAAGTGTGTTGTTGTAGCTGCCACTAGTATTCGTCCCGTTTCCCCCTTGTAGCCACAATGGATCAGTCGTCACAGTCAATAGGTCTTGAATGGCCTGCTTGGGAGACGTTTGGGTATCTCGACTTTCCCACGTCCAATCAAAGTCACAACCTTCCAGTTGACCGGGAAGTGATGGAACTACCGCACCACTCCGTTCTCGAAAGTGTTTCCATGCCAGAAAGGCTGCTACGTTGACGGACATGGATGCAATGTTGTGTTCCAGCACTCGCGTTACCGTCCCATTGGCAACATCCAGAAATGTGAACTCTCCAAAGGCCACAAGGTGGCCTTCTCTCGTCGCTCCATCTTCCGAGTAACGAATTCGCGATGAGGGAAGTGGGGCAACCATAGCTAGCTGATCAGCAGTTATGACAGTGTTCAGATGAACGATGTATTAATAGTGAGGTTTTGACTACGATAGCTCGCTTCGAAGCAATGGCACTCACCACCGTCAGATGCGAAAGCGGGTTACTTCCTTATGATCCAAGAGAGTTTGACGCCGTTGTTGTGCTTTGCTTTTGGGTTTGTTTGGTTAGCCTAGCTAGCTAGTGGTACGGTGGTACAGTACAGTTGAGCCCATGCCTATTATTATATCCGAAGCTCAATGAGAGCCCCTGAAACGCACGCGGTTGTATTATACGTATAACATTTTTACTATGTATTCTACATATCATACGTATTACACATATAACATTTTTAATATGTATTAGACAAGTCATACGTACAACACAGATAACACAAGTGGAACAATATTATACGTATTACATGTATTATGTGTTGTACGTGTTTTACGTATAATACATAGTGACGAATTTTTGCAAGTTTTTTTGCCAGGTGTTTTGCAGGTGTTTGGGAGGCAGAGAGGAAGATGCACTGTTGCAGGCCATAATACTGACAGCTTATCAAGTAAAAGGGACTCTTACCTATCTGAACTCTCTCATTTTGCTAGATACAATATCAATGATGAAGAATGGACTCCTGCTTCCATCATTGTGAATGTAGCAACCTCACTAGCTGATGATACGCCAAAGGAGATAAACATTATGGATACTCTGGGTTCGATAATTATCGAATGGAGAAATCGACGGTGTATTGGCTACCTTCGATGTATCAATCTTGTGATCCGGCGCATATTAAAGAAGTTTTGATGCCATACTTTGTACTTCCTTGCAAGACTGCTGGATTCCGCATCAAAAACAAGGGATTTGATAAGAGGCGGAATCACATTACCATATGTTGTCCAAGGAGTCGTTTTTACAAACAAAGGTCCCAAAAGGACAGCAACAAAACCACCCAGACTTCCTGTTGAGGGGGAGGGTGTCAAATGTCCATTCTCTTTCAATGTTCTATATAGCCAGGAACACAGACGATGGTATCTACCCAAGTTCCAGACAGGCAACAAGCTTCATCGTGGCCATGTACAACTAGAAGAGGCACAAGTGAAAGTGTTAAGTACTCATCTTGGCACAGAAGCCGTTACACTAGCGGAACAATGCCTAAAGAAGAATGAAGAAGGAGTTGAATGGAGAGAAATCCTTCTATCTTTCCACAGAAACAGTCTTCTTGGCTTCAACAAAGCCATACCACATTGCCTACTTACCCACAATGATGATACTATCTTCAAATAACAACAGAAACCTCTGTATCCTTCAAAGCAACAAGAGGAGAGAGGTTTATCTCATGGTGTGTGTTGTGGAGATTGGTGGAGATTGGTGGAGATTGGTGTTGAAGCCATTTTGCGAAACGAACGGTCACTCGAACGGTCACGGTGGCTGGCTGGCGACCGTGTAATACGTGTTATACGTATTATACGGGAATACGTAGAATACGCATTGTACGTATTACATGTATTACATCGCGTGCGTTTGAGGGGCTCTCTTTGACCACTCTTTTATGTCTCTGTGAATCTCACAAAGCCACCGGCTTCACTACCTCTCTAAACCCTTGTTCAGCTGTACCGGTACCATCCGAAACTTTGAGACTGTTAATGTTAAATCCTCCACTTTACAACCACCGGTACAAACGGTGGGATGTGACTGATGTGACGTCAGGTTTCGATTTATTAATAGTGGAGCTGCACGCAAATCGCGAGAGCCATTTTACGTTCTACTAGACTACAGCTGGTACCGTACACTGTACATGTAGCTACATCGTACCGGTGGTACCGTAGTTGTTGACTTCGAACGAACGGTATGCGATAGAATCATTCGATTGAATGATGAAAGATGATCGGAATCGAATCGAATTCAATCTTTCTTTTGCAAGAGGTCATTGGGTACCAGTCACTAATACACGAATGGACCGTCACCCAACCATCCAGCCTGGCGAGCCTGTCCCATGAACACAATACAGTACATAAAAATGTACGTGTACGCATAACTCAGGCAAAGCTAAGCAATTGAACTTCTTGAGTGCTTGCACAGTCTGCTCTCTAGACCTACCAGCTAGAGTCACAAATCCATCGAGAAAATGGTCTCATTCAATACTAGTAGTTTAATCATATCAGCCCTTGTCTCTGGGTGCATTGCCCTTGGGGCTCTCTCATGGGGGTATCAACGTGGAGCAACAAAACAAGTGCACGCTGTGAAGGATCCCAACACATGTTTGTATGTACCCGGAGGAGGGTTTTCTGGCTTCTTTTACCACATTGGCCATCTGCAGGCTACATCGACGGCAAAGCCAACAGTATCCAACATAATTGCTGGTTCCGAGAGTGACAATGTTGACACCGACTACTACTGCTATTCTGCAGGATGCCTTGCCATAACGGCTGCTTTGGGCAACATCACTGTTTTTGATATTATTGATGCATTATGGGATCTTCAAGACTTAATGCGGACTGGGAACATCTCACAGTTTGAGATGGTGGAGGGGTTTGTAGACTATCTGATATCTACAGGTCGTGAACGTACTTTGATTGATGCAGCTTTGGCCAAGATGCACATAATCACAACTGCAGTGTTGCCTGCAGAAGGCTGGCTGTCACCACCCAAGCTAGAAACTGTTGTAAGGACGCCCCAATCTCTCAGAGAGCTCAAGGAGATGCTGCTGCAGACCACATGGATCCCGGGAGTCACTGGAAACGGTTGGGTATCTGATGATCATCTGGATGGTGGTCTCACAACATCCAGCCATCCTGCTTGTTCAAGTGCAGTGGAAGTCCCCCAATTCACTTGGACCTGGGAAAGCCTAGAATTCTATGCCAACGTTCTCTTTGGTGTGACCATGAGCAAAGAACAAGCTGAACGTTTCTGGTTCGCAGGAGTCAAACAGGGCCTCCAGGTGGCTGGCCGCAAGGTTTGATATCAAAACTAGCTGTACGGAAAACAGATAAATAGATAGACAAGAGAAAGTCAAAGGCCCCTTGCTACCCTGTAAAGTAGTCGCAGCGGGAGCAGATTAGTCACTACCGGTACACCACAGCTCTGTGGCATGGCAGCCGTAGCTCAGACCTGAGTGTACAAACCCTTTGATAACTCAGGAGGCTAGTGTGGCCGGTGAGCAGACTTGGCTGTGGGAAACACCTGAGCCTCGGCTCATCCTCAAGCACTTCTGGTCTGACTCGGTTAATAGATATTGAGTTTTTTGGCAGTCACGGGACGGGGGGTGGTGAAAAAGTGACTTTGCCGCTGGTGACAAAAACAGTCCACTGCAGACTGACCGGTATCAGTACCAATCTAATCTTGGAAGCAATGTATACACGGTACTGTATGGCTCGAAACAAATGATGCCATTTCTGCTGCTCCATGATTAGCTATCAACTACTAGTCTTTTGTTGTTCGATATTGTGTTCGTTGAATCTTCCTCGGTGTGCTATTCATACGTACCGTACCGTATGAGTTGTTGCCAATTATTCGTCGTCTGCGGTTGCTGTGGTGAAGGTTCCTAAAATCAAGAATTCTTCTCCGGCCAGCCAATCCTTGTTTCCCTTGATGACCAAAGACCCATTGGGTGCCATGATCACTCCATTGGCAGACTTGGGGCTGGTCAAGGGTGGCAAGGCTCGATAATAGGCATCACGTAGCCTGGTAAGGCCGTCAAATTTCTTGGAATCTCCCACCATTTGTCGAAACGTTTGAAAATTTTGGAGTATGTTCTGATCCTTTGCCTTTGCCTTGTTGGACTTTGTTTCTTGGACAAGTTCATCAACTTCCATTACTAATTTGTTGTACTCCTTTTCTTGTTTCTCGAGGGTCACCGGATCGTCCCAAACCCCCGTGGTAAAGAATATTCTTGTCCCGGGCAACACTTGTACGTCTTGTCGTTTGGCACCCGATGAGCAATCAAGCCAAAAGCGCAGTAGACCTTCTGGTTTGACTAAACCACCCTCGGTGTTTCGAATGTCGCTTTGAGGTCTTTGGATGCACCAGCCACCCACCCATTCAAATTCGACGGTTTGTTGTCCATCGACGGAAACAAAGGTGGCAGGTGGCGACGTCACTTTTAATTGATAGGTATCCGTCAAGGGGCCCACCAAACTTTCGGCCGTCGTGGACGGGGCATTGGTAAATTGAACCGCCACTTGCAAACCGAGCCGTGCTCCCGATTCGGCCCAACCGGGATATCGTTTGGGCATCCACGTCCCTGGTTCCAAGCCAATATCCAGTTGGAGTTTCCATTCGGTGCCCACCAGCAGCGAAGAGGATCGAGTGGAATCAAACGACTGCAGTGCCAACACCGAGCAGGAAGCTACGATAAGCAGTAGCGTATAAACAAAGAGCAGCAGCGACATGTCGAGAAAGAATGAGAGCAACTCAACAGAGCCATGGTAGAACCTTCAACAGGCTCTGACTCACTGGTGACTCAAATAGACCATGGCGCGAAGATACTATCCACGTATGAGGTTGTGACGTTTCTTCGCTTTTGAGGAAATGAGTTGTCGAAGGAACGACGATGACGAAACCCCAAGCAGCTCCTCCAATAGGCTGCAGCAAGACCACTGTAAGCATTCAACAGCTAGTCTACTGGTTTTTGGAATAAGTTTGCGAGGGATAAAGTAGATACTTTCCTTGTCACTGGACAGACAAACAAACAATCGTCGCGCCATGACTTCCAAAGATTCGGATGCCGGCGGCGTCATGGCCCCGATGACGGGCGACTACAATAAGCTGAATGCATCGCAGTCCACCGTGTGGAAATATGCCAAACCATTGTTTGCCAATGCCCTACAAGACGTGGCGCGGGGGTCGACATTTCGGGTGGCTGATTTGGGTTGTGCTACGGGCGGAAATTCCGTGGCGCCACTGGCCTTTGTGGCGTCTCATCTCCACAATGACTGCGCCTTGGAAGTCTTTCTGGGAGATTTGCCGCAAAATGCCTGGAGTGCCGTGGTGACGACAGTCACGCCCGAATCGATTACTGGTACACCCAATGGCGATCGTTCTGCCAGTAATACATTTGTGTACATGGTGGGACGCACCTTTTACGAATCGTGTACGCCTCCCGGCACATTGGATTTAAATTACAGTTTGGTGGCGGTGCACTGGATGAAATCCTATGCGGGAGATGTCCCCACGGGGCTGTATGCGACGGATCCGTTGCATACGACCGACCCGGAATTGTTGCAGGCGTGGCGCACTGCCGGAGCTCAAGATTTTGCCGATTTTACACGAGCACGACACCGAGAATTGAAACTGGGAGGACGATTTATTGGTGCCGTGGCATGTCCCAAGGAAAATGGAGACTATCCGTGGTCCAAAGTAGGAAAAGTACTCCATGATGCCCTCCTGTCGAAAGTGGAATCTCCTCAAGTTATTGCGGCTTGTGTCTTGCCCTGTTGTTGGAGAACCCGTGCGGATGTCGAGGCTGGATTTGCCATAGGGTGGCAAGTGGAAGCATTGGAGTTTCACGAAACCAAAGATCCCGTTCGCGAGCAATTGGAACAAGGTGGAGTGATTACTCCCACGGAGTATGCTACTGCCGTCGTGGAATCGTTCAAATCAGTGGGTCATCCTACCTATGCCGGAGCACTGGCCAAAACCATGCCACAGACTCAAGTGGATCAACTCTTGGCAGAAGCCTACAAGGATTGTATCGATGTGATTGCCGCAGATCCAGAGCAGTACAACTTGGATGTTTCGTTCTGGTATGTTGTGGCCAAGAAGACGAGCGACTAAAGTAACACACTCAATATTTCCACTCGTGACCGCAACAGCTAGCCTAGACGCACTCCACCTTCCCCATTAGTATGACATTGTGAGATCGGGCGGACATAAAAAATTCACCGACAAACAAAACACAGACCCCCTGCTACAACCCCAAGGCACAGCCTCAATCGAATGTGATGACAGCATTGCCGACATGCGAACGCACAAGCAGTTATTGGATGGGAACGACTGCTCGAAGAAAGGCTATCAAAACAGTGGGCACGCCAACAGGACCAAGACTGTGACCTCAAAACACACCGGGAAAATGACCAAACATGGCTAACAGGGATCATCCACGAGATGCTCACTCGGTGGTATGAACATATATCTAATAGCCATCAAAGGGCTGTTTGCTGAGGTACAAGCGAAGTCATTCAAGAAACAATCACCAATATTGGTGGAAGATGTCGTAATTTGCTGTTACAAAAGGTAATTTCGGCTGTTCTAGCTATAGTTGATTTGCCCCTATCGTTTTCAGGTTTTGCAGTCAAATGTATGTTGTGATTGTTGTTGTTGATGATGATGTGAAATTCAAGAGAACTCTAAAGGTGCAGGAAACAACCAAAAATCTAGAACCACAGCTGATTGTCTGTCGATTGCTCTTTTTCGGTTTCGTTGATTCCATTCCAATTTTTGTGATAACGCATCTTTTACCATCCATCATCCGCTTCTTCGGCAATACGTTTCTTGTCTGCTTCGCTGAGTTCCATGTCGGCTGTATCCGCGGCACCGGTTTCTTTCAAGGCAGATTCCAATTGACTGGCCAACGATGCGACATCAGAGACAGAGCTCACTTCTACGTCCTCCAAGAGACTTCCAGCTATTCGAGTACTCATGTCATCGGACAAACCTCCTCCACGTTCTCGTGCGCGTTCGCCTTGATTCTCTGTGAATGCCACCATTCCGATCCCTACCGACAATCCGGCAAACGCCACCCCGGCACCCATGAGGACATTTTCTATAAAATACAGTCCAAAGTGAAACAGAAAAATCGTATTGGTCAGTCAAGCAAACATCAGCGGGAGACAGAGGAAACAAGAACACCATCCACTTACGGTCCACCATGTTCAGGGAAGTAGACTGACGGTTATTGTCTGTGGTCACAACCGAGAAACCAGAGGTTCCAGAGAGGAGGCTCAAAAGGGCAAGAGAGAAAAGCGATCGGGGCATCATTGTGAAATTTTGTTTGTAAGGTTGTAAGTCAATGGCAGAAAACTAAATGCGAAGCAATGATATCGGGGCAAGGCTTGTTTTGGATTCTGACTGACTCGTTCTCAATGGCGTGTTGTAGTGCTGTTGATCGACACAAGGCATCGATTGTCACTGTGGCGGAAGATATCTTCGCTTTTGACAGCCGATGACGTTGGATTTGCCACTGACTCATTCATGTCTTTTTGTGTCACGATTTCAAATAGCAATAATATTGTTATTCAATTTGAATTGGGAGAGGCCCACTGCCATCCGCAATGGCCAAAAAGCTGCCGGTGTGTCCATGGCGAGTACTGTAACTTGTCAGCCTTTAGTTCTTTTACTACTTTTGAATGGCAACACTTTAACATGCCAGGAGGAGAAAAAAGAAAGGCTCGAGCGTTCGCCAAGAAGCTAATGCGACAGTTGAATCCGAATCGAGTTTACAACAACAACACTGGAGACAAAGCAACTAACAATGACAAGACCAAAACCAAACAGGGGTCCTCCAATGCAACAACAACCACAACAACCAACATGGGCCAAAAACCGCCACGGAAAAAGCAAAAGAAATCGGAAAAAAAGAGTCGAGATTTACGAGACAAAATAGAGGGAATTCCGTCCTTGCTCGAGATTCTGCCGTATATGAGTGATGAAACCAAGGCCATTGAATTTCTACACCACAAAGGCGTGATCGACATGCCACCCCAGTGCATGCGCTGCCATCAGACTGCACAGGTGGATTGGGTCCGAAAACAATTTCGATGCCGAAAAGTCAATTGTCTCTACAAACAACCCACTTGTTGCGAGAGTTGTCCTAACCAGCATTTGGACACGTTCCAAACACCCTTGGGAGACACTGGCGTGACATGTCCAGAGTGTAAATGGCAATGGAAACCAGGACAAGAACATGCCAGTAGTTTTTTCAAAGGAACCTTTCTCGCGGGTTGTACCCGAACTCCCATTACCGAAGTAGTGTTACTACTGTATCTCTGGTGTACGAATGCCACGCTCCTCCAAGTGTGTCAGCAAACGGGATGGGGCCACAAAACGGCATCGACATGGATGCATACCATTCGTCACCTGGTGCAAGAAATGGTGGTCCACCAACCTCACGACAACAATAACCGCATTGGAGGACATGGCAAAATTGTGGAAATGGCCGATCGAAAATACGACAAACGAAAAGACACGGCAAATAAGTGGGTGTTGGGAATGGTAGAGCGGACACCGGAACGAAAAATGGTGCTGCTGGTAATGGACCGAACGAGACAGTCGCTTGAGAATGCCATTCGGGAATATGTGCATCCAGGATCCACAATACACACCAACATTTGGAAGGGACACATTCGCTTGGAACGATTGGGCTATGACACGAAAGTGTTGCGCCAAAAGTACAAGTTTGTGGGAGATGACGTGGGACAACGAGCCATTCCGGTACACCCAGTTGGCGGAACGGATCTACAGGAGTATCTGTTTGTCTTTATGTGGAAAAGGAAAAATGCTAACAGAATATGGGAGGCGCTACTGGAAGGGCTGGCAAAGATTCGGCTGACCAAAAAGGAACTGGAGCAGCTGCAGGCAGTAAAGGAACAACCAAAACGCAACAACAACAAAGATGATAATGACTCGGTGAACTTTGACGATGACTTGGTATATGATGCATTACAAGACAATGGCAATGACGATGAATTTATCAACTTTGGAGACCATCAATTTACTCCCCAAGAGGAGTCGTCCGAGGGAGAGGAATCAGATGGTGAGGAACGCACTGGTATGATGGAGGCCGTTGCGTCGGAGGTCTTTGGTGAAATTTTGGCGACAGGGGCGATTGACAGACCAATACTCTTTGATGGTGGAAGGCGATGAAATAAATAGACTTTCGTCATGCGTAGCCAGAGTTACATCATGTAAATGATACAATTCCGATTCATTGATTTTCTGCAATAATCGTTCCTGTGCAGCCATCTATCTACATGTAGCCTCTCCCCCTCCCCCGTCTTCCACCACCACGGGATGCGAGAGATGGAAACATGTCGGAAAGATTGGGTTTCTTGTGGCTGTCACTCTTCTTCTCACTTATTCCAAAGTCCACTTGAGGCAGAGCGGACCGGGATGCAATGGTTGTGGATTGTTTGTTTTTGTTGAAATCTGTCTTTGGTCGTTTGTTGTTCGATGATGGCTTGCTGCTGTCTGGTGGTCTGTCTCCTCTCTTATGATTATTGCTGCTGCCCTGCTGATCTTTGTTATTATCGATTCCCTCCGAAGCCAATTTTGCCAATAGATAGGAAAAGTAGGCACTGGTATTGTCCATGGTAGAACCATTGTTTTCAATGTATTGTTTGATGGCTGTTTCGACCATTCCGGCACTGTACCGTTTGCACATGGCAATGGCCCCCTCGTCGAGTTCTCCTTGTTTGAGTTCTCCCGACTTGAAGAATTCCGCCATGATGGTGTCAACGACATTGGAGAGGTAGTCTTCTTGTTCCTGTCGATATTGTTTGATTTTGGCATCTCGTGTTTCTTTCTTGCGACCGCCGGCCGAACGTTCCACATTGAGTCGTCGACCATCCAAGAGCGTATGGTGCAGCCGCAAACAGGCGTACATGATCTCGGGATCGGCCAGTTCCACAAATGCCATGCCACGGGATTTTTTCGTTTTAGGGTCGGTCAGCAAGCGGACTTTCACCGTTTCTTCCGAGACGGCATCTTTCGCGAATAATCCGCTCTCGGCCAGTTCGGTGCGAATGTGTGCCAGCAGAGCTTGTGCTGTTGTCGTAAACGCCAATTGTCCCACAAAGACAATATAAGGCGTCTTCTTGTGACTACTACTAGCACCTTTTTTGTCTCCTTTTTCTGTTTTTTCTTCTAAAAGATGTTGATTGTCTTGGTACCACTGCTGCATTTCTTCCACCGAACATCCAACTTCTTCCGCAGCAATCGCTTCGGCTTTGCGCTTTAGAGAACGACGTTCTTTGGCGCGTAAATCTTCCTGGTTCTGGATTTCCAACAACTCCTTCTTGAGCTTGCGGGCTGCTGTAATTCGTTTCGAATCTGTCTTGGTCTTTTTGGTTGTGGACTCGGTAGTGGTGTCTTTGGAAGTAGTTTTCGTCGATTCATCTTGCTCGGCCGAGGACGCTTTACTGTCGACTTCCGGGGCAACGTACTCCTCGCCTCGTTTCTCGGCACGGGCCTTCAGCCGTCGAACCTGGGCTGCAGACTTTTTCTTGGCCATGGTCGTCACTTACTTTGCTCTTTGTTCAGGCGTTCAAGAATGGGTTGTGGGAGTTTTGAGAGTGGAGGAGAATGAATGGACGAGACGAAAAGCCATCAAGGCTGTCAAAGGCTGCTGGCTTTGATTGAATATTCGAATGAAACCGATAGAATAGAACGGATTCTGACACCACTCGCGACTTACTCAGTCTTGGCCACTCAAAGCTCACCGTCCTTTTCCATTCAAGCCTCAAGGCCTCGCTCCACCTTGAAGCAAATTTTTTTGGTGTTTTATGAGGCGCCAATGGCGAAGACGTCCGAAACGTTTGCCGCAGATAAGACAATGGGAATGATTGATTTGATTCAATCTAGAATGGCCCCACATGCCTAGCTAGTAGTAGAATCGAGCATTCTTCTTACCTCAATGGCAATAATATGGCCAGCAGGATTTGTCTGCTTTGACGCATCAGGCAGCTTTGGCCAGTGGTTCAGGGAGTTGACTGGAGCATTGGAGGCATCTCCTGATCTCCTGCCTCACCGAATTGGTAGATCATAGCCCTGCCCCACCAAGGAATTGGAAGTTATAGGATCAAGCCGAGCATCAGCGAATCATTCCGGCAAAGTAGTCTAGTGAGAAGCCTCCTCCTCTCCATGCTGGGCTGCTAGCTACTCAATAATGGTACTTACTTTGGCTAGTGGGTCAGTCGGTTCATAGTCAGAAGGCAACAAGAAGCCTTCAATCAGTGATTGCCACTCCGGGCATACTCAGTCCGAAGCTTGCATAAATCTATTTAAATACCACTCGGATGCCATGGTGAGAGCTCCACCCAGCACCCAGCCAAACAAAAAGAACACAACTGGTAGGTAGACTACTCTAGCTAGCTAGCTAAGCTAGCTACTCTGCTACTCTGAGTAGTGGCCGTGCCGGTAGCTACCATTGTATTCGGATCATAGCTGGCAAGGCCGTTCCGAAAGTTCAAAGCGGGCTATTTGCCCTTCTGCGCTCTGTTCCGAGATCTCATTTCGGCCTCTAATTTGACTTTCGCGCGGTATAGCTTGTTTGGACTCCTAAACTGCTTATCCACCTATCCAGCTAGCCTACCTTAGGTAGCATTGGGGTTGTTCTGGGTTCTTGGACTCGCTGTTGGCTCGGTGGCTTCTCTCAACTGGTAAGAAGCAGGAAGAAGGCAGCTACTGGTTTCTACCACGAAGTATCCGTGTATGATCAGTGGTGCAGCCAATGCAGCTACGAGAGAAGAGTGACGGGAGAGGAGTACTAAAAGTAGATGTAATGCTATGTAATGTAATGCAAAATGTAGAACTATAAGTGGATGTCCAGCACTAGGAAGGAGGAAGAGAAGGAGGGATAGATCGGCAACTGGAGCGGTTGAAAGGAAGGAGGGAAAGCATTCCAGAAAGGGAAGTAGACTACCGGCAGCATTAGGAACCCAACTATGCCGCTGCCGCCAGTGCAGCGTGGTGGTACTCTGAGTAGAAGATCCAGTTCATGGTGAACGTATCCAATTCGTCGTCTTGCAGATCATCCTCGTCGTCGTCGTCAACCCCGTTCATGACGAGATTTCGCAAGAGGGCCATGGACTTGCTGGTGTTCGATTGATGGTAGAACGATGCGCTGATATGAGCCATGTTGCAGGCGAGTGCTGCCAAGAGAGCTCGAACACGAGTGGGGTCAATCGCTTCCCTTCGATTCTCCAGCATGGCCATGGAGTGTCGGTAGAACTCATATGCTCGGACCATTCCCACGCTGGAGCCGTGGCGAATGGCGTCCAAGTGAAAGGAGAGGCCCATGTTGTAGAGAATGGTGGAAGGGACAATGTGCTCTGGATGATGAGGCTCATCATCTTCGTCGTCATCGTCAAAGTCAAACTCGTCGTCAAACTCGTCGTCCCTGACCGCGACAAACGCTTTCTGAAAGACGGTCAGCACGTTGCCACATGCAAACTGGGATGATGCTTTCCTGGTACTTCCATCTTCCAAAGATGCTGTGAGGCTGTCGGGAAGGGCAAACGTCTGCAGTCGAATCGAAGTTCGACGCTCGTCATCTTCATTTGCCATCTCCATGGCATCTGCTTCCAACCTGCGATCCGCGATTTGAAGGGATGTTCGATACGCCTTGAGCGCATTCTCAAGTTCGGTGGTGCAACCTCGATGATCCCCCTGAGCAAGATAAGCCACTGCCTTGATATTGAAATCAAGAGCTGTTTGGTGGGTGATAATGGCAGCCATGGTTGTTGATGCAAACTTTAACTTTTTGTGTGATGTTCCTGTTTTTCAAGTGGTTTGATGCTGTGCAACCTGGTCAAGTTGTTTTGGGTTTTGTGAGTTAACTTGTGAGCAAGTGGGAGGAGGAGTAAACTTCACCAACCGATGCAGGTTCGGAGATGGGAGACCCTTCGTGATGTTGGTGGATGCTTGTTTGCTTCGTCGTTGGGAATAAGTGGAACTTCCCTCTTGAATCCTTGAACGGATTGGTGCGTTTCAGTGACCTTTTCTACGATCGTCAGTGTGCTGTAATCTCGTCGATATCAAATTATTTGTTAATTACGAAATAAACGCAAAGGCCTAAATAGTTAAGATGGCTTCTCGAGTTCATAGAATTGTGAATACAGCATTCGTAATGGCCAAATCATTTATGCAAGTCTCCATTATCATTTTCCCCACTGAAACAGGTGAGTTAGGACACAAAGACCTAGCAATCTTAAGTACAACGTCAACTATGAGTACTTACTTGCGCACTTGCGCCCTCATAGTGCAGCACCTTTAACTCCCAAATTGGAAAGGAGGGCACAATGGCCTAAAAGTAAATGCGTCCACTGCAGCACTAAAGCAAGGTTGCGCATCCCATCCGCGATTCTGCTTCTACTGGTTTACCTGTACTGGTACATGTACACTGTGACAAAAAGTACTATTTTATTAATAAGCCATAGTAGTCTTGCAAGCTTGCAAGTCCAGTGTTCCCCCAGTGCCCAATTAGAAAAAGTCTCTACAGTATTAATTAATACTAGCTCGTTCAACTAAATCCTAGTAGGGTGAGTTCCACTAAAAGCGGCATTAGAGGTCGCTGTGACAAAGATGAAAGTGCGGAATTAACGACCTAAAAGCAATAGGGAATATGAACTCATTGAATTAGTAGACCTTGCAGTGGTGGTTTGAGTGGTTAAATGATGAAAGGTGCTTCTCGTTTCGCAGGCTTCTCCAGACTCCAGAGCAGAAACAGCTCTGGAACCTGGAATCTGGAGCCAGAGCCTAACCAGACTCTAGCAGGAAACAACAACAAGGGTTTGCAGGAGGGGATATGGTACCTGGTACATACTAGTACATGTACATGAAGCAAGCAAAAAGTCTAGCTAGCTGGATGGGTGCGCTCTCGGGCTTCATGATTAAATTTTTGACCATCAAAGGAGCCCCAATCTATGCATACAGCCAGCACACTCGTAGCTAGCTAGCTAGTCTACGCTGGCTAGCTAGTCAGTCTTCGAGTGCCACCCTTATCAGAACCGTAGCTGGGTGGGTGGGTGCTGGGCAGTGGGTAGAAGAGGTTCTGCTTTGGAGGTTTGGCAATCTGTGAGCCAATCCAGCATGGAGATGAAAGGGCCCGAAATCAGGATTTTAAGAATCCAATTAAATTGATCAATTCCAAACCTAAATATAAAACCGAAACCAAAATATAAAACCGAAACCAAATTACTATGGTAAATAACTAGTGAAATCAAGCCGAAACCTAAATATAAATCGAAACCTAATAGAAATATAAAACCGAAACAAAAATATAAAATCGAAACACAAGTATAAATCAGAATTTGGTGTAAATCGCCATTTCGGGCCCTTTCGATGACACGGAGTTGGGAAGGGTTCTGGAATTTTGTAAAACCCAAGCAGCTTCTTTCGAGGTACGTAGTGGGCTTTGCCGTTGAACGCTATGAACCGCTTGGGCTTCTTGAAGCTGATCAGTCCCTCTTCCGTCTTGGCTTGACACCGTCATCTTACAGTTGCACTCTATGCCTGCTAGCCTACATCTCTACATCCACCGCCAGCTTGCTTTAATACAGTATTGGCCATCCGGTGACCAGTGACGAAGCAAACCTTGCAATTAGTCTAGTATTTCAACTCGTCCGCCTTTTGGCTCTTCAGTCATTGAGGCTGTGAGCATCGCGTTACTCTAGCTAGACCCCGACCCCGTAGCCACAGAGAGTGGCCAAAAATGAAAACTAGGTTCAGCTGCAGGCTACCTAAGCTGGGATCGAAGCAAAACTGGTAGTTGGAACCTGGGCGGCCTCAGCACCGGAGGCGAGCCACGAGCGCTCTGGGCTTGAATACCTACGGTAGCTGGCTGGAGCTGGAGCTTCATTTCTATCGTCTCACTTTCAATACGAAAACATATCCTTTGGGATGGACGCTTTCGCCGCCTTGCTTCGTTGGCACAAGCACGGTTTCCAATTCTCGCTCGCTCAATGTGAACTTTGACTTGCCAATGTGCGTCGTTCTGCAACCGGAGACCACACCGAGGGTTCCCATTGGCTGGGCGAAAATCAAGCGATTGTTGGTGTTATTACTATTACAATGGGCCACTTCGAGTTGTTCTCATTGGCAATTCCCATCCGGGTCTTCTAATCGGCATCAAGGGCGGAATCTCCAGGCTTTACCTGTTTCGTGGGCTTTGACAATGATACTTTACGACCTTTGGTGAAATCAGTGGTCGGACCAGACATCTTGGAAGCGTGCATACATGAGGTCTTGGGGAATGTAGATATTGAATTCCCACCCCCGTGCCCTGAGACATTGAAGGCCTAGCCCCTAGCCAGCCAACGATGACAGTGTCAAGATGAAGCTTTTGGGAAGTCCGACATGGCGAAACCGCTGGAAGGTTACATATTCATGAGCGAAGGTGCATAGAATCACCATTTTGAGAGTCCTAACCAGCCTGACAACGTGGAAACCTTCATAGTTCCTGTTTGACTACGTAGCCAAGACCGAGCTGTTACTTCACAAAAAGAAACCGCTATTCATTATTCTTTTTGCTCATAGAATACAAAGGAAATATATCAGGAGACATCACCGAGCACTTCTAAGGTCACTTCTGGTAATTTTCGACCCAAAACTCGTCCTGACAATTTCAACATTGGCAACTCGGTGTCCGCACCAACACATTCATTCCCGCCACTTTTTCTTGTTTTATCCGTGCAACTTATTCTGGCTGCGTCAACAAAGGATAGATCAGCGTTTTTTTACTGCCATTGCTGCTGCCAATCCACGACAGCTCCACCCTGGACTTGCGTGACGCCGTGTTTGTCCATCATGATGGATCCTTGCGCGGGGATATCAAACTTGGGCTCCATGTAGTACGAGGATTGTTCCCCATCAGGGATGGGTGGTCCGAGAAAGTAATCAATCTCCGCACCACCCTGAAGCGCAGCAACACCGCTCTTTTCCACCAAGATGGATCCTTGCTGGCTCACATCAAACTGGGGTGGCAAGTGGGCCGAGTCGGCGTCGGCCTCGGAGGTAGGGATCTCGGGACCAAGAGCCCAATCAATTTCAGCTCCTCCTTGTAACACCGCTGGGCCTTGCTTCTCCACTTGAATCGGTCCCTGCTCGGGGACGTCAAATCGCGAGTGGGCTCGGTAGTAATGAAGCGCCGTCTTGGACTGCTTTTCCGGACCGTTGATCGAAAAAGCTGCCGCCGACGCCGCCAAGAAAGAAACAAGCAAAAGCCTCATTTTGTTGTGTTGTGACAATTAGTATTTCTTCCAAAAAAGAAAATGGCAAAGGAGCTGATGATGGATTGTGGGAATCTTTTCTCATCTGATGGAAAGAGGTTGGCTGTTGGTATTGGTCAATTGGTGTCTTCCACTGACAACAGTCGGGCAATTCGTTTTTGCCTTTGCCCAATCCGTTTGCAGCTTTGCTTCGGAAGAACAAAAATGGGGATGACGTGGGTCGAAACAAACCACGTACTTCATTATTTCTTCCAAGCCGTGTCGTGGATTATTGCACCGTGGATCGTGGAGAAGTTTTTGGGAGAGAAAAAATGCTTTCACAGCATTACGGGCATGTATCAACTTGAGCTCAACTTGTACCATTAGGGCGAAAGCGGTAGAAGGCAGAAATCTGATTGGCTAATCAAGCTAATACGTCAGGAAGTATGTCGCAAAAATTCAAATATACTTAACGTACCGTTTATAAAGATTACAGGGAAACTGTGAGATACACCCACCACATGAAAGAGAGGTATGCCGTGCTGACAGACGCAGTCCCACTAAGTAAGTAGCATGAGTCGACGACTAGGACAAGCTCGACGACCAAGGAGTGTGTTGGGATTGCGATTAGGGATTCAACCCTGTACCTCTACTTTACTACAGTAGAAATCACAAGACCCACCCACTTTTTCAGTAGTATCTCAATAGACAACAGTCTAGAAGAGAGCTAGAGACAACTAACATGGTATCAGAGTGAACAAGGTATAGTTCTTTGCTGGATCCAGTCGCCCCTGGCTGGCTACCATCACTGGCTGTCACCTTGTACTGCAGAACCACTGCTGACACTCTGCCTCATTGTTTCCGGTGACCACTGCTTCCTTAGATACTTGAGTACCGAGCTCTGAAGACCTTGGAGGCTTGCATGTCGGAGATCTCTGCCATGGAGTAGTGCTTGCCATTGGAGGACAAGAGGCCATGTTTCAATGCATGGAGGACCTTCTCATAGTCATCTGGTGAGTACTCATACAAGCAATCCAAGAGGTCAGTCAGTGCTTGAAAGTAATCAATGTGACCCTTCCTCAAAGTTGACAGGATCCTCTTCTCATAATGAAACAGGCCAAGTCTTCCTCAATACCTGGAAAGAGTACTCCCAGTAGTCATCCTTGTGGGGCCAGGGTGTCACTGTACATTGCAGCTGGATTGAAGTGGCTCCTCCTTGCTAGCTGCATGGCAGCATGGGAGAAGTGGATGTCTTGGTGGTAGGAACGAGAACTGCTGAAGCAATCTCTCCAGTCTCAGTAGCAGCATCCCAAACAGCAGCAGCACCAAGACTCTTGCTGTAGTTCTTGATCACCTGGAAGGTGTGGTCTTGACAGAAGATTCCTTTGTTGCACTTGACACTTTGGATCTCTCTTGTGTGCCTTTGGTTGTCACTGATCCTCCACGGATTCTGTTTGAAGCACAAGCAGCATCAAAGATGTCACGGATGGTGTCACCAAGAGGAGGAAACTGTCTGATGTAAGTGCCATCCTTTTGAAGAAAGGGATCAGGATCAGTGTCGCTTCCTTGCCAGTATGAGAAGTAAGACATCATGGCTCTAAGATACTCTCTGTTGATTGCGTTGTAGATGAGGCGGCTGCATAGGTCTCCATTCCATAGGTTAACATGATAGAATCGAATACTTCTGTTGCTGTTCGCTCCAAGTGACAAGCCTTGTTAGGTAGAGCATACTTGGACTCCACTGGATAGAGCAATGCAGCATGGTCTGGGATCGAGACCAGCACTTCTGCAGAGTTGGCATCGAATCTTCTGTGCAGCTTCCACAAACATGGACATGACTATACACCAAAGAAGGAGGACCAGTGATGCCAAAGATAGGGAACAGGGTTCTTGTTCTTGGACCAGTTGTGCCTCGCATTCTTGAGTTGGCCAGAGCATCTTCCATCGGGACAAGGTACAGTAATTCCACATCGATTCCAGTCCACAAGGAGTAGTTTCTGGCCAACAATGGAGTGGTAGTGTGGAGATTTGAAATTGCTCCTCTGTGGATGGAACTGTCATGGTGAGTCCTTCAAAATGTTGGTGGAATTGTGGATTCCTTGCTTGATAATGGATTCTGACACAGCCTCTGCCAGTGCTAGCATTGCCAGTGGTGCTCCTTTGGTCTTGTGCTGTTCCACAAAGGCATTATCATTTACAAGAGTGGTTACCTTTTGACAAGAGCTACTGGAGTTGTGTTGGTTGTGGATTTCTTCTGTTGCCGGCTCTGATTTGGTTGGCTGTGTTTGTTCTAGCAGAAAAGAAGGCATCTCATTCTCCTTTGTTGAGTGCTTCCAGCTTCCTCTCTCATTGAGTGGAAGAGGAGCACTGAAGTGCCTTGTGAGTCTTCTGCTCTCTCTGATGGTTTCCATTGTCAGCTCATTCAAATCTCCTCTTCCTCTTGTTACTGTATTCTTAATACAGAGAACGTGGTGTGATCTTTTTGGGACTCTGAAACCAAGATGTCTGGCCTTACAGATGACACACTCCTTGAGTGGATCAAAGACTTCTGCTACCTCTCCTCCCAGCGTTGTTTGGGGTCCTTCTTCTCTGGCTCTCTTCGATCTGTTGTTGTTGGAGGCGAGTTGATATGCTCTCTTCTGTTGCGAGTTCCTCTGTTGACTTTGGCAGCCCATTCCTCCATTGTGAGTGGTAGCTGCTGTTGGTGGCTCCATGGTCCTCTTTTGCTGCTGCTGCTACTGGCTTTTTGGCTGAGTTTTGGCTGAGTTAATGACTGTCGAGTGGCTCTCCGGTGGTGTTGCCGGTGGTGTTGTCATTGTCGATCTTCAACGGAATCCGAGTTTCGTTGTTGTCGAAAACAGAAAATGGCGACTAGGTAGCACAGTTTCCCTGTAAATATTTATAGACGGTAGATCCACGTGGCTAGCACTAAAGTCACTAGTGAACTTGGGTGTAGCGGACATCACTTCCTCTGACGCTATTAGTCTTTGATTCACTGCACAATCATGGATTGTCTGCCCTTCCATACCCAGCTTTGGTCGCCCTAATGGAATACAAGCAAAGTTGAAGCTCAACAGATGTAGATACAATGCACCACCGTAATAGCGCTGAAAGCATTTATTTCTTCCTCACTCCACACAAATTAAGCGTTCTATCCAACGTACCAAATCTCTACAGGTGCAATAATCCACTGACATCGGCTTGGGGAGAGAAAAGTAATGCAAGTAACGTGGTTTAGTTGTCGAGCCCACAGTCCATCCCCAATCTTGAGTTCTGGGCCGAGAACAAATATGCTGCAGAGACGTGGATTGGGCAAAGGCAAAAACGAATTGCCCGACTGTTGTCAGTGGAAGACACCAATTGACCAATACCAACAGCCAACCTCTTTCCATCAGATGAGAAAAGATTCCCACAATCCATCATCAGCTCCTTTGCCATTTTCTTTTTTGGAAGAAATACTAATTGTCACAACACAACAAAATGAGGCTTTTGCTTGTTTCTTTCTTGGCGGCGTCGGCGGCAGCTTTTTCGATCAACGGTCCGGAAAAGCAGTCCAAGACGGCGCTTCATTACTACCGAGCCCACTCGCGATTTGACGTCCCCGAGCAGGGACCGATTCAAGTGGAGAAGCAAGGCCCAGCGGTGTTACAAGGAGGAGCTGAAATTGATTGGGCTCTTGGTCCCGAGATCCCTACCTCCGAGGCCGACGCCGACTCGGCCCACTTGCCACCCCAGTTTGATGTGAGCCAGCAAGGATCCATCTTGGTGGAAAAGAGCGGTGTTGCTGCGCTTCAGGGTGGTGCGGAGATTGATTACTTTCTCGGACCACCCATCCCTGATGGGGAACAATCCTCGTACTACATGGAGCCCAAGTTTGATATCCCCGCGCAAGGATCCATCATGATGGACAAACACGGCGTCACGCAAGTCCAGGGTGGAGCTGTCGTGGATTGGGGATTGCCTCGGATGGCATGCATGGCAGTTAAAGAGACGCTGATCTATCCTTTGGTTGAGCAAGCCAAGAATAAGTGCACGGATAAGAACAAGCATTAAAAGTGGCGGAATGAATCTGTAAGTTGTTGGTGCGGACACCGAGTTGCCAATGTTGAAATTGTCAGGACGAGTTTTGGGTCGAAAATTACCAGAAGTGACCTTAGAAGTGCTCGGTGATGTCTCCTGATATATTTCCTTTGTATTCTATGAGCAAAAAGAATAATGAATAGCGGTTTCTTTTTGTGAAGTAACAGCTCGGTCTTGGCTACGTAGTCAAACAGGAACTATGAAGGTTTCCACGTTGTCAGGCTGGTTAGGACTCTCAAAATGGTGATTCTATGCACCTTCGCTCATGAATATGTAACCTTCCAGCGGTTTCGCCATGTCGGACTTCCCAAAAGCTTCATCTTGACACTGTCATCGTTGGCTGGCTAGGGGCTAGGCCTTCAATGTCTCAGGGCACGGGGGTGGGAATTCAATATCTACATTCCCCAAGACCTCATGTATGCACGCTTCCAAGATGTCTGGTCCGACCACTGATTTCACCAAAGGTCGTAAAGTATCATTGTCAAAGCCCACGAAACAGGTAAAGCCTGGAGATTCCGCCCTTGATGCCGATTAGAAGACCCGGATGGGAATTGCCAATGAGAACAACTCGAAGTGGCCCATTGTAATAGTAATAACACCAACAATCGCTTGATTTTCGCCCAGCCAATGGGAACCCTCGGTGTGGTCTCCGGTTGCAGAACGACGCACATTGGCAAGTCAAAGTTCACATTGAGCGAGCGAGAATTGGAAACCGTGCTTGTGCCAACGAAGCAAGGCGGCGAAAGCGTCCATCCCAAAGGATATGTTTTCGTATTGAAAGTGAGACGATAGAAATGAAGCTCCAGCTCCAGCCAGCTACCGTAGGTATTCAAGCCCAGAGCGCTCGTGGCTCGCCTCCGGTGCTGAGGCCGCCCAGGTTCCAACTACCAGTTTTGCTTCGATCCCAGCTTAGGTAGCCTGCAGCTGAACCTAGTTTTCATTTTTGGCCACTCTCTGTGGCTACGGGGTCGGGGTCTAGCTAGAGTAACGCGATGCTCACAGCCTCAATGACTGAAGAGCCAAAAGGCGGACGAGTTGAAATACTAGACTAATTGCAAGGTTTGCTTCGTCACTGGTCACCGGATGGCCAATACTGTATTAAAGCAAGCTGGCGGTGGATGTAGAGATGTAGGCTAGCAGGCATAGAGTGCAACTGTAAGATGACGGTGTCAAGCCAAGACGGAAGAGGGAAACTGGGTTATCAGGGGTTCTGTTCAAAGAAGCCCAAAGCGGTTTGTCGATAGCCGTTTCAAAACCGGCACCACGGAGGTAACGCGTACCTCGAAAGAAGCTCGCGCTTGTGTCCCTCTTTACAGAGACTTTTCCGAAGAAACCCTTGCCCAACGTACCAGTGTCATCCCGTAAAGGGTCGGTGCGCGGAGTGACGTTTTTAACAAAACCAGAAATTCTGATTATACTTTGTGTTTTCTGAGTTTTATATTTTTTGGGTCGAGTTTAATTATTGCTTATCTCCAGGTGTGGGTGTAGAGTTATGAGTTTAGGTGGCGAAGCTTGATTTCAGCTACGTTGAGTTTTACCACTCGACAGGGTAAATTCCTGCATTAGTTTCGGTTTTTTATATTTTGTTTTCGGTTTTATATTTATGTTTGGAATTGATCAATTAAATTGGATTCTTAAAATCCTGATTTCGGGCCCTTTCATCTCCATGCTGGATTGGCTCACAGATTGCCTGGGTAACGTACTTAGCTCCCATTTTAAGCACTGGGTGTTAGGCAGCTGAAGGTACGTCAGCCTCTGGTGAAAAAATCTCCCTCACCCCGAGATGGCTCAAGCACAGCCGGAGGGCAATGGTTGCACTGGGGCAACCAAGGGAGGCAGTGGGCAGGCTGGGTTGTTCGCCGCTGTGACTCGCAAAGGACGAGTGCTGTTCACAAAGCTGCGTGGGCTGGTAAGTTGGCGGTGGCACCAGGTCAAAGGAAGTGCAGGTAGCTTCCCCACAGTTTGGCTTGGGAGCTGGATGGTGGGAGTTCTCAGGACTGCAGCCAATACCGGTAGGTGGGGCTGTGGCTACATTGCTGTTGTGGTTGGAAGCAAAGAGGGCATCTGCCAGTCGCAGCTGCGTGGGCTTGACACTAGTGGCAGGCAACTACCCACAATCGTGCTTGGGGGATGCGTGATACCGGTTGTGCATCCTAGTCCTGGAGGCGGGTGCTTTCTGCCTGAGGGCAGTTGCTTTTCCGTTGATATTCTCGAGGTTTCGACTAAAGGACTTGTCAAGCAGCTGAAGAATGCACCACTGTCGCTAATAAAGGGTAGAGCTTGGATATGCTGCTAACAACTCTTGAGGCCAGACCGTATCCCAAAAGATATATAGGGGAAGTGGGCTAATATACTTGCTGCCTTTACCTTGGATATCACATCTGCCTTCAAGGGTACAGTAGGAGAGTCACGAATAGAGGTATAGAAAAGTGACAATGGTGCATCTTGATGTTTGCCAAGGAAGGAAGTGTAGCCTGTACTGGGAATAATGGAGACAATTGTAAGAAAGCCATTGACTCAACTGTAATCTGGAATTCACAAAGATGATCTCCAGGGGCCTTGGTAGTGGGCTACTAAATTCAAGTAGTATGTACTTGAATAAGGTAGCCTGGTAACGAATGCACTGGGGCCTGCTTCCTGATGTAACGCTGATAGTGCTTCGGAAACTGTTGGCATGGTTGATGATTTGTGCCACAATGGAAGATTTGCTGGGAGCAAATGAATATCCCCACAAAAGCTCCCACAAATCTAACCCAAAGATCATACCCATGACACAAGAGGATGGCGGATAGAACTGGTGCATTGCAGCCAGGCGATGCCTTGGTTGTCTCGTAGTCTGCAGTTGGTCCTGTTACTGCTCAAGGATAGAAAAGCATTGGTTGTGACATCCGGCGACCGGGTATTCAATTTCAATGCTCGACACAGTAAAACTTTAAAATGTAAGCAAAGCGATTCCGATGGGCTTGCTTTCGAAACGGAGAGAACTTGTGCGTTTATAGGCAAAACCGGTACCTGGATACGAGCTCTCTGGATACGGTACGGAAGCGTTTCGGTCGTGTTAAACTGACTCAGTGCACTAGTAATAAGTACCGAAATTCGGACGCTGAATCTGCACGGCAATTTGATTGGCTGAGCGACTTCGTGAAAATCGTTGCATACTCTTCGACTCCAAGACGGAAACTCTTGACACTCGAAACTGCAACGGACGTTTTGATTGGCTGCGCGGCTTTCGAAAAGAACTTCCAGTACGTTCTGGAAAATCGCTCCAAACTGCACAGACGTAGTGAAAACGTTCCGTGGAATCCCTCAAGAATAGCCTCGACATCAACAATAAATCCAAACGTTCCGTGTAAATCGCTGAATTGACAGAGAAGCGATAAGCCCGTACCAAAAGAGATAACACTGTTGCTGATACGCAATTCCGTAGATAAAAGACGTGACTTTCAGTTGCCAAAGCGGTGCAAATCAATAAGTCTCGTGTGCACTCGGAGACTCCGGTGTTCCGTACCGGGACCAGTACAAGAAAATGCTTCTTCTGTCGGGCGGAATTGACTGTTTTGACCATTATCGTTCCGTGCTAGCTCTAGCTAGCTAGCCGAATGCTTGTTGCCTCGTCAATGAGGTTGTTGTCCGAATCTAGGTCCTGTAGGAGCGACAATGGTCTTTGTGTTGGGTTGTAGATTGGAGATTGGCAACTGAAAGGTGTTGTCACTGTGGTGAGGCTAGAAACGGTTGGAATTGGCTGGAAGGTTGTTGAGATAGACTTCGAATGTAGGCTTCGAAGTGCACTTCAAATTCCAATGAAACCAACTGTAACTGTAGTGTAGCACTGATTGTTGTAATGCGGAGAGCTCCTTGTCAGCCTGGAGACTCTCCTTCCCTTAAAAACTGCCTGAATTCTATGCGACTGTTAATCCAACAAGTTTCTAGAAGTACTCAGTTCCAATACCGAAGTAGTGGACTGGGTCTCGCTGAAACCCTTCCTCAGGGACAGCGGTAGTCAGGCAGTTCAGGGAGCCTTTTCGTGCCTCAGGAGTATTCAACACCTCCAGAGGCACCAACCAAGGACTTGGTCCTGTCAGTCAGACAGGAGGGCCAGCAGAGCTCTCTGCTGGGCCCTTTGGGCCAGCTCTCCTCAGGAGCTGGGAGCCTTCGTTATTCAATCGTGCAGTGGCAGTCTGGGAACAGTACTATCTGCTACCTCCTACTGCTTTTGCCCGGCCTCAACAGGAAGGTATCAACTGCTGCGGTATCAATGGGGCTACAAGCTAATCAGGATCGGTCTCAATCTTTCGTACTATTTTCTTAACTATGTAGAAAGGACGATCCTTTCTTGCTGCTTTGCTGGAGATAAGCCAGCTGCGGTGCTGGAGCTGTAGGCCAGCATAGCTGTTGGAGCTATCTCTGACGGGATCCAGAGCTCTCGCTCCTAAAAGTTATCGTTTGCAGTGGCGTGTCGGAGCCGTACGGTGCCATTGTCATTGACTCGGTCGATATGTAAGGACCTTGTACTTTGGCTGACCGTACTTGCGGTGTGTACTGTTGAATCATCATAGTATCGTTGACGTTGTATTGATGAGGGATACACTCGCTTCTCTCTATCATCATTTTGTTGGATAAGTCGTTGTTGACGCTCTTTGATATATTGTGAGTTCGTTTCGAAGCGCATGTTGTGGATTGCATCACGACTAAACACCAGTTGTGCTGGCGTAGCACGCAAGGGCGGTGGTATGAATCGTGGCATTCTTTCCACCAACTTGCTCCTTAGCTCTGAGGGCAGTGGAAAGCATCGCCTCTGCAGATTTTGAATTGATTTCTTGATTGCATTCTCGTTGGATGCATTCTTGGGAGGATGACGTGGATTCAAGTGTGCTAGTTCCGTTTCCAAGTAGGAGATTTCCTTGGCTCCATCCTTGTCTTGTTTGCAGTAGTCACGACTGGATCATTCGAGCGCAGACAAGCTGCCTCGCCAG